TTTTTCCATGCTTTAAAGGTTGAGTCAGCTCTACCGGGTACAAAGAATTGGTTACCCCACACTGGGCTGAACAGAGACAAGCAGTGTGGTTCATTAATTTTTTTTTTTACATCTCTCCATACGCCTATCATGTTTTTAAGAAATGGATTTTTAGTATGTTTCAAAAGCTTTGATACTGAATCTGAATAGAAGTATGAGGGGAGAGTCACTTTTAAATCCTGAGTCTCCATGTCAACCCAGTGCGGCGACTGATCACTGTAATAAAACATCATAGATCTCAACTGCACAGCATAGTAGTACAAGTGAAAATTTGGGCAATTCAAGCCCCCACGGTCATAAGGGAGATATAGTAAAGACAAACGGAGTCTGGATTTTCTGTTTTTCCACAAAAAACATAACATCCTCTTCTTTATTTGGGAGAAGAATTCAGGAGGAGGTGGAAGAGCAACATTCTGAAATATGTAAAGTAACTTGGGCAGTATATTCATTTTAACTGTATTTATTCTCCCAATCATAGACATTGGTAGAGACGTCCATCTTTCAAATGAATTGTCTACTTCATTTAATATGAGATTGTAGTTGGTCGCAGCTACCCATTCCAAATCTGGTGAGATGTGTATCCCCAAATATTTAAATTCATTTACCATCTTAAACTGTAATACACCTAATGATGGGTTAATTTTTTCATTTGTATTTAATAAAAGAATTGAAGATTTGGTTCTGTTTATCTTGTATCCTGATATACCACTAAATGATTTAATTATTTCCAAAATAATTTGTATTGACTGATTTAATTTTGATATGAAAAGGATCACATCGTCCGCGAACAAGGAAATCCTATGTTCTGTAGGTCCGACATTGATTCCACTAAGATGTGGGTGTGAGCGAATAGCAATGGCAAATGGTTCTATTGCCAGAGTGAATAGTAAAGGTGACAATGGGCAACCCTGCCTACAGCCCCTGTTGATCTTTATTGATCTAGATATATTCTTGTTAGTTATTATTTCAGCTGAGGGATTGTTGTATAATATTTTCACCCATTTTACAAAATTATTACGACAGTCAAATTTTTCCATAACTTGAAATAGATATTCCCAGTGAACCCTATCAAATGCCTTTTCGGCATCTAGTGATAAAAGAGCTGAGTCTGAGGTACCTCTATTATAATGAATTATGTTTAGAACTCGCCTCACGTTATGAAAACCCTGCCTCCCCGAAATGAATCCATTTTGATCTCGATCAATTGATTTTGGGAGCACCTTTTGTAAACGTCGTGCTAGCAGCTTGGAGATTATTTTTAGATCTGAATTTAGTAAACTAATGGGCCTAAAATTCTCACATTTGTTTGGAGATCTGCCTGGCTTTGGCAAAAGGATAACCATGGCGGCGTTCATTGAGGGGGGGAGATAGTTTGAATGGAAAACTTCCTGAAACATATCTAGTAGAGGGGTCAAAAGTTTATCTTTAAACGTCTTGTATAAATCTATGGGGAGACCATCTGGTCCCGCTCTTTTCCCTGATTTCATATCATTAATGGCTTGCCCTAGCTCTTCTTTTGTAATTTCTAGATCCAAGTTTTCCTTGTCTTCCTCTGAAAATTTTGGTATATTTAAATTTTTAAGGAATTGATTTATGTCTTCCGATTTGATGTTTATTTGTGCCTTATATAATTCTTCATAATAGTTCTTAAAGGCTACATTAATTTCTTGAGGATCATGTAAAATTTGTCCATTTACTATAATAGATGTAATTGGTTGTTTAGTTTCTAATTGTTTTATTTGCCATGCCAGTAACTTGCCTGCTTTATTGCCCTGTTCATAAAATGTTTGCCTAAGTCGCAACAAACTTGATGCCGCCCTTGAAGCTGAGTATTTATCATATTCTGCTCTCAAAGCCAGTAATTCATTTTCTAATTGTTTATCTCCACTATTTACTTTAGCTTGGATTAACCTTATTTTATCTTCTAATTGTGTTCGAGTTTTTTCAGTTTGTTTCGTTTTAAACGCTGTATAACTAATAATGTGACCTCTAAGGTAGGCCTTAAGAGCCTCCCATTTTGTACATGCTGTCGTTTCTGAAGTATTAAATTGTAAGAATTCGTCTATTTGTTTCCCTAAATATTTCACAAAGTTTTTATCTTGTAACCATTTATGCTGGAACTGCCATCTCGGTGGGTCTCTCTTTAATTGGTCATCTCTGTAAACCAAGCAACATGGGGCGTGGTCAGAAATTACAATGTTATCATAGAAGCAATCATGAATCCTAAACTGTAACTCTGCAGAGATTAAGAAGAAGTCTATTCTGGAGAAGGTTTTGAAAGAACTTGAATAACAGGAGTATGTTTTGCTAGCTGGATTTTTCTCTCTCCATATTTCCATCAACTTCAGCTCCTTCATCATTCTATAAATTGCAGCTCTACAGTTATTATGCGATTGATCAATTCCAGTTGATCTGTCCATGCTTGGGTGTAATGTACAATTAAAATCCCCCCCCAATATGTGAGATCCTTTAAGCGTAGACAGAGTGAGGAGTAAATCATTGTAAAATTTACTATCATCCACATTAGGGCCATATATATTAGTTAGAATTAGAGTTTCCGACATTAGGGAGCCTTGAAGTATTAGGTATCTTCCTCTTTTGTCTTTAATAATGTTTTCAATTTGCAATGGTATAGATTCATGTATAAGTGTCATAACTCCTCTAGAATGAGACGTAAACGGTGCTGTATATATATTACCCCTCCACCTCCTCTTCACCCTCAAATTATCCTCATCGAGAAGATGCGTTTCCTGGAGGAATATAATTTTAGACTCCATTTCTTTCAGTCTATTCATGACCTGTTTGACTTTTTGAAGGCGTTGGAGCCCTCTGCAGTTCCATGAAATAAAATTACATTTTACAGTTTGAGACATACATCAACAAAAGTAGTGGGATGCTTAGCGTTGTAAAAATGTGAGACACAACAAAACCGGATGATAGAACATACATCCTACATAGAGAACATAAAGAACATAACCCTTTCCCTACTACCAAATCCCTTCCCCAAACAGAAGGAGCCCCACCCACAACCGTTATGTCTCCCGTTATTGCCATTAGCCAATCCACAGTCATTGAGGATTAGCCGAACCACGTCCAGTTCACTCTGCAAAAAGTGCTCCCGTCGCTGCCAGGCACAATACAGACCCCTGCACACGAACACTGAACAGCATTCGAAGGTACTCTTCACATTTGAATAATTTTTGTAACCCAAGTTAGGAACCCAACTATACAACATATTAGAAATATAAACATGTAACAAACCGAATAAGTTCGCAGACTTCACGTACCGTCTGAGGCATTACTTAGTGCTTTATGCGTCCTGAGCTCTCTGGAGTTTTTTGCTAAACTCGCTTGCTTCCTCTGGTGTTTTAAATGCCAGTGTCTCGTTTTCGTAAGTCACTAGGAGAGTTGCAGGATAAGTTATTCCATTGCGGATGTTCAGATTGCGCAGCACCTCCCGGATCGGGTCGAACTTTTTCCTCTGTTGGTGGAGCCCGGCGGCCAGGTCGGGGTAGAAGTGGACCCGTTTATCTTTATAGAAGATATCCTTTTTTTCCCGTGCAACACGAATGACGGCTTGTTTCTCTCTGAAGTTAAGAAACTTCATTATCAAGGCTCTGGGTCGGGAGGCGCTGTCCTTTCTCGGGCCCAATCTGTGCGCTCTTTCCAAGCTCAGAGAGGTCTGCAGCTTCTCACTTCCCAGTGCTTCGGGTATCCACTTTTCCAAAAAAGCACATAAATCTGAACCCTCTGCACCTTCTGGCAAGTTTACAAGCCTTAAGTTATTCAAGCGAGACCTTGTTTCTAAGTCAGTGAGTTTATCTTCCATCGACTTGTTTTTAGCCTGTAAGGCGCTCACACTAGCTTGTAGGTTAGCCACTTCATCTTCCGCGGAGGAAATACGGTCCTCTGCTCGCAGCATACGTTCATTATAGTCTTTCATCTCCTGTTTCATATCTTGCAGTGTCACCAACAGACCGTCGAGTTTCGAGGAAAACTCGCTTTTCAATGATTCGAGCGCGACCAAAATTTGGTCAGACTTACTATTTTCTGAGTCATTAATTTCTTCAGGCTCCGCCATGTTTTTGTTGGCTTTGCGAGCTTCACCGCGGAGGTTGTGGTCGAAAAGCTTCGTTTGCTTGGATGCCTCACTTTTCCCTTTGAGCTGTTTGGATGAGTTAGGCATTCTATCTTTTTCCTGACACAAATTTTTCGTGAGCAGCAGTTATTTTCCCTTAATAAGCGCAGCAGACAGCGGAGCAAAGTTCTGCACGTCTTCCTACGTGGCCGCCATAACCGGAAGTCTGATAAAATCTTTTTAATTTTTCAGTTGGGTCCTCTGAAAGCAGAACAGATCCAAGCCCTATTTTATTTTACAACCTAAAGCCCAGCATACACTTTACAGATTCTCAAGTTGTGTGAGAATTTTTTCAATCGGGCTGAGTTTCAGACTCATAGTGCGTCCTGAATCGTGACGTGTACAGGGCGTAACGAGTGGCGACCAGTCTCTAACGAACACCTACCGATCAGGTAGGTGTTCAGTAAGGTCGGGAGGAAGTCAAACATGCCGCCGTACGGTGATCGTGGGAAAATCCTGCTTTTGTAGCAGAGCTACGAGCCGATTTACCAGAACCTTGAGCACTGCCAAGTGGAAACAAGGGTGTTCTTCTTTTTCTGCCAGATTGATGGGTCCGACCAGTGGTTTTTAGACGTAGAGTGTGAGCAGGTAGATCGCATCAGAGCATCGGGTTGCACAGTGTGAAAATGGTGAGCTGGGAACTTTTAAACCCTGCGGTTTGGTCATACAGTGTGATGAAACCGACACATGGAGCCGTGTGATGCTCGGCTTAAGAAGTAAAATATTTTCATGTACCCCTTGCAATGCACTGGCAGACCACCAGGGGTATGCGTACGCCCGGTTGGGAAACGCTGCTGTAATCCATCCTGTTCTCCATCTGCAGCAGTAAGCTGCTGTGGGAGTTGCGTCAGGAAGCTGCAGCCTGCGTAGGTCTCCTCTGCACCGTGCTCAGCTATGAGGCGGAGCGCATCTTCAAGTGGCTTTTCCTCAAGTTTAACTCCAGCAGTCGGGATGAGGTGAAGCTGCTGTACCTGGTGGCGGCGCAGCGGACTCTGGAGGCTGCCGGGGAGAGGAAGGCCTTCTCTCATATCATGCAGGTGAGCTGATGCTGATGGTCAGAACTCCTCCTTCCTCCAGGGATCCAGACATGGACTCGCTGTCTTCTGTGTTTCAGCTGGTGATGAACAACCTGCAGTCCATCCTGGAGAACGTGGACACCCCAGAGCTGCTGTGTCAGAGCGTCAGGTGCATCCTCCAGGTAGCCCGCTGCTACCCACACGTCTTCAGCACCAACTTCAGGGTGAGCCTTTCAGCTTCATTTAAATCACTGACTGCCTCCCTCTGTCCGTCATTTACTGTGTCCCTCTGTCCGTCATTGACTGTCCCTCTGTCCATCATTTACTGTCCCTCTGTCCGTCATTGACTGTCCCTCTGTCCATCATTTACTGTCCCTCTGTCCGTCATTTACTGTCCCTCTGTCCATCATTTACTGTGTCCCTCTGTCCGTCATTGACTGTCCCTCTGTCCGTCATTGACTGTCCCTCTGTCCATCATTTACTGTGTCCCTCTGTCCGTCATTGACTGTCCCTCTGTCCATCATTTACTGTCCCTCTGTCCGTCATTTACTGTCCCTCTGTCCGTCATTGACTGTCCCTCTGTCCATCATTTACTGTGTCCCTCTGTCCGTCATTTACTGTGTCCCTCTGTCCGTCATTGACTGTCCCTCTGTCCATCATTTACTGTGTCCCTCTGTCCGTCATTTACTGTGTCCCTCTGTCCGTCATTGACTGTCCCTCTGTCCGTCATTTACTGTGTCCCTCTGTCCATCATTTACTGTCCCTCTGTCCATCATTTACTGTCCCTCTGTCCGTCATTTACTGTCCCTCTGTTCATCATTTACTGTCCCTCTGTCCGTCATTTACTGTCCCTCTGTCCATCATTTACTGTGTCCCTCTGTCCGTCATTGACTGTCCCTCTGTCCGTCATTGACTGTCCCTCTGTCCGTCATTGACTGTCCCTCTGTCCATCATTTACTGTGTCCCTCTGTCCGTCATTGACTGTCCCTCTGTCCATCATTTACTGTCCCTCTGTCCGTCATTTACTGTCCCTCTGTCCATCATTTACTGTGTCCCTCTGTCCGTCATTGACTGTCCCTCTGTCCGTCATTGACTGTCCCTCTGTCCGTCATTTACTGTGTCCCTCTGTCCGTCATTGACTGTCCCTCTGTCCGTCATTGACTGTCCCTCTGTCCATCATTTACTGTGTCCCTCTGTCCGTCATTGACTGTCCCTCTGTCCGTCATTGACTGTCCCTCTGTCCATCATTTACTGTGTCCCTCTGTCCGTCATTGACTGTCCCTCTGTCCATCATTTACTGTGTCCCTCTGTCCGTCATTGACTGTCCCTCTGTCCATCATTTACTGTGTCCCTCTGTCCGTCATTGACTGTCCCTCTGTCCATCATTTACTGTGTCCCTCTGTCCGTCATTGACTGTCCCTCTGTCCATCATTTACTGTGTCCCTCTGTCCGTCATTGACTGTCCCTCTGTCCATCATTTACTGTGTCCCTCTGTCCATCATTTACTGTGTCCCTCTGTCCGTCATTTACTGTCCCTCTGTCCATCATTTACTGTGTCCCTCTGTCCGTCATTGACTGTCCCTCTGTCCATCATTTACTGTGTCCCTCTGTCCGTCATTGACTGTCCCTCTGTCCGTCATTTACTGTCCCTCTGTCCATCATTTACTGTGTCCCTCTGTCCATCATTTACTGTGTCCCTCTGTCCGTCATTTACTGTCCCTCTGTCCATCATTTACTGTGTCCCTCTGTCCGTCATTGACTGTCCCTCTGTCCATCATTTACTGTGTCCCTCTGTCCGTCATTGACTGTCCCTCTGTCCATCATTTACTGTCCCTCTGTCCATCATTTACTGTGTCCCTCTGTCCGTCATTGACTGTCCCTCTGTCCATCATTTACTGTCCCTCTGTCCATCATTTACTGTGTCCCTCTGTCCGTCATTGACTGTCCCTCTGTCCGTCATTTACTGTCCCTCTGTCCGTCATTTACTGTGTCCCTCTGTCCGTCATTTACTGTGTCCCTCTGTCCGTCATTGACTGTCCCTCTGTCCATCATTTACTGTGTCCCTCTGTCCGTCATTGACTGTCCCTCTGTCCGTCATTGACTGTCCCTCTGTCCGTCATTTACTGTGTCCCTCTGTCCATCATTTACTGTCCCTCTGTCCGTCATTTACTGTCCCTCTGTCCGTCATTGACTGTCCCTCTGTTCATCATTTACTGTGTCCCTCTGTCCGTCATTGACTGTCCCTCTGTCCATCATTTACTGTCCCTCTGTCCGTCATTGACTGTCCCTCTGTCCATCATTGACTGTCCCTCTGTCCATCATTTACTGTCCCTCTGTCCATCATTTACTGTGTCCCTCTGTCCGTCATTGACTGTCCCTCTGTCCATCATTTACTGTGTCCCTCTGTCCATCATTTACTGTCCCTCTGTCCATCATTTACTGTGTCCCTCTGTCCGTCATTGACTGTCCCTCTGTCCATCATTTACTGTGTCCCTCTGTCCGTCATTGACTGTCCCTCTGTCCATCATTTACTGTGTCCCTCTGTCCGTCATTGACTGTCCCTCTGTCCGTCATTGACTGGCCCTCTGTCCATCATTTACTGTGTCCCTCTGTCCGTCATTGACTGTCCCTCTGTCCATCATTTACTGTGTCCCTCTGTCCGTCATTGACTGTCCCTCTGTCCATCATTTACTGTGTCCCTCTGTCCGTCATTGACTGTCCCTCTGTCCATCATTTACTGTGTCCCTCTGTCCGTCATTGACTGTCCCTCTGTCCATCATTTACTGTGTCCCTCTGTCCGTCATTGACTGTCCCTCTGTCCATCATTTACTGTGTCCCTCTGTCTGTCATTGACTGTCCCTCTGTCCATCATTTACTGTGTCCCTCTGTCCGTCATTGACTGTCCCTCTGTCCATCATTTACTGTGTCCCTCTGTCCGTCATTGACTGTCCCTCTGTCCATCATTTACTGTGTCCCTCTGTCCGTCATTGACTGTCCCTCTGTCCATCATTTACTGTGTCCCTCTGTCCGTCATTGACTGTCCCTCTGTCCATCATTTACTGTCCCTCTGTCCATCATTTACTGTGTCCCTCTGTCCGTCGTTGACTGTGTCCCTCTGTCCGTCGTTGACTGTGTCCCTCTGTCCGTCGTTGACTGTGTCCCTCTGTCCGTCATTGACTGTCCCTCTGTCCATCATTTACTGTCCCTCTGTCCATCATTGAATGCGTCCCTCTGTCCGTCGTTGACTGCGTCCCTTTATCCGTCGTTGACTGTGTCCCTCTGTCCGTCATTGACTGTGTCCCTCTATCCGTCATTGACTGTGTCCCTCTGTCCGTCATTGACTGTGTCCCTCTGTCCATCATTGAATGCGTCCCTCTGTCCATCATTGAATGCGTCCCTCTGTCCGCCGTTGACTGCGTCCCTCTGTCCGTCGTTGACTGCGTCCCTCTATCCGTCGTTGACTGCGTCCCTCTGTCCGTCGTTGACTGCGTCCCTCTATCCGTCGTTGACTGCGTCCCTCTATCCGTCGTTGACTGCGTCCCTCTGTCCATCATTGAATGCGTCCCTCTGTCCGCCGTTGACTGCGTCCCTCTGTCCATCATTGAATGCGTCCCTCTGTCCGTCGTTGACTGCGTCCCTCTATCCGTCGTTGACTGTGTCCCTCTATCCGTCATTGACTGTGTCCCTCTTTCCGTCATTGACTGTGTCCCTCTGTCCATCATTGAATGCGTCCCTCTGTCCATCATTGAATGCGTCCCTCTGTCCGCCGTTGACTGCGTCCCTCTGTCCGTCGTTGACTGCGTCCCTCTGTCCGTCGTTGACTGTGTCCCTCTGTCCGTCATTGACTGTGTCCCTCTATCCGTCATTGACTGTGTCCCTCTGTCCGTCATTGACTGTGTCCCTCTGTCCGTCATTGACTGTGTCCCTCTTTCCGTCATTGACTGCGTCCCTCTGTCCATCATTGAATGCGTCCCTATGTCCATCATTGAATGCGTCCCTCTGTCCGCCGTTGACTGCGTCCCTCTCTCCGTCGTTGACTGTGTCCATCTGTCCCCCATCGTTCCGTGTCCCTCTGTCCCCCATCGTTCCGTGTCCCTCTGTCCCCCATCGTTCCGTGTCCCTCTGTCCCCCATCGTTCCGTGTCCCTCTGTTCCTAACCCAGCTGTTTCTCCATGTTGTCCTCAGGACACGGTGGACATCTTGGTGGGCTGGCACATTGACCACACCCAGAGACAGTCTCTCACCCAGCAGGTCTCAGGTGAGTTTGGGTCAGATTAGAAACTAACCTCAGGAAAGACGTGGAGGAGCTTCAGAAGGAGAACCTCAGGGTCCATTACACACTGGGCTGAAAAGAACCAAAACCAGACTGCTTGGTCCAAACGGTGGACCTCAGGGTCCAGAGTCTGGAAGTAGGGGACCAGAATGGACAATGTTTTAAGGTTCTGGTGGAACGGGTCCACAGTCGGCGCTGATCTGCTGGTTCTGCTCCTCTGGGGTTTTTTTCCCAGCAGGACTTGGTTCTGGTCAGGCTGCCTGTGGTACCTAAGCAGTTTCCATGACTACGCTGGTACTGGTGCTTGATTGGCCAGCCCACGACTTGAACCACAAACATTACCTGATTTTGTTTGTTTTCTGAGAAATGTCACTCAGAGAGGAAGAAGCCGTTTCTCTGCTCTGTTACAGAGCTACTGATCTATATTCACTGGATAGGCTGTTGGTAGCAAGCGGTGCTGTGAAGTCACCAGCTGCCATATTGGTACTCCCTAGCTACGACGGCTTGCATTGTAAAAAATCTGTGAGCTGCAGCATCGAACAACAATGATGTTCTCATTTTCAGGGGGTTTAAGACTTAAAATAAAGATAAATTCATCACTTTGACACAGACTGGCTGTTTTATAGCATCAGCAGATTAACTTTAACTTAGAATAAATAATGGCCCATTGCATTGCGGTCACTATAAATGCCAAATAGAAAGTCATAATTATTAGACACAAAATCATAAATTCAACTTTCAAAGTCATGATCATAATATTCAACTATATCTCATGATTCTAACCTTCCCTTTGCATTTTTTTACTTCTTCGAGGTGAAAGCAGGTTTCCATGATATATAAATCCATCACAGCAAAATTAAAGTGTTAATGGAGGATAATAATAATGTATCAGGAATATTACACACACTATCTGATGATTTATCAAAAGCACTAAATTGATGATGTACATATAAAATACATGTATTGATGACATTTTTATGGTAATCACATGACATCACAGGCGTTTTTATGACGCGCTCCGTGAGGGTGGAGAGAACCAAAATGGCGACTTCAGTTTTTTCAGCAATCCAGTGAATAAATAGAGATCAGTGCAAGGAGCTATGTCACATGACCTCAGTCTACTTCTCCTACTGGTGCAGAATCAGAGGCGTCGAGTAATTAAGTACAAATACTTTACTTAGTAATCATTAAAGCTATCTATACTTTACTGGAATGATAATTTTTTAGACGACTTTTTAATTTTACTTCCTGTATATTTTTGAAATTATCTCTATTTTCTATTCCTTGTATTTCAAAACTAAACTTGTTAGTTTTGTTTCATTTAAGCTAATTTTCATTCTGGCCTGTTGGTATTTAGAAAAACATAAAAACCATCAACATAATTAATTTCTTTTTGTTTGCCGCCCAAGATGATAGAAAAATGTTCCTGGCTTCTGGCCTTAACAGTTTTTCCTGCAGTAATTTTATATTTATATTAGTAGTTTTAAAAATTGTACATTTACACTTTAACTGGAGTAAAAAGCTAAATTTGATCCTCTAACTTTTATAAAAGTGTTTCTAAACAGCAGCATTTATTGACCCTCTGTGCAGAATCCTTTAGTGTTGGCATGGTAACCAGAAATAAATATTTGGACCTGTGAAAATGTCTAAAACAACTATTGATAAATTATAATGAACCATTTTATCTGACAGTCTGGTGTTTTATTTCATTTTTATGACTGAATCATTTGAAAGAAAAGGTTTTATCTGAGACCTTTAATGTGCATCGACCCCAGAACAGGAAGCTGTGGATGTCGTGTATCTGATGATGTCGTCCCGTTTCCAGGTTGGTTACAGAGCCTGGAGCAGTTCTGGGTGGCAGACCTGACCTTCTCCACCACCCTCCTGGGCCAGTTCCTGGAGGACATGGAGGCCTACGCTGAGGTGAGCCCCTGCTGATCCGTAGCTGATGGTTATTGGATCAGACTCTGACCCGGTCCCCCTCTGCGTAGGATCTGAATCACGTGACGTCAGGCGACGTCCCGGATGACGACATCCCTCCGCCGTCAGTATCCCTGCCCAAGCTGGCGGCTCTGCTGAGGGTTTTCAGCACCGTGGTGCGCAGCATCGGCGAGCGCTTCAGCCCAGTGAGGGGACCGCCCATCACCGAAGCCTACGTCACAGACGTAAGATCAGGAAGAAGTTGTGTCTCCTCCAGGCGGAGCAGGAGCGGCACTTCCTCTCTGAGAACGGCGTCCATGGCCTCCTCTGTCTGCCTCTTCACAGGTTCTGAACCGGGTCCTGGCCTGCGTGACGGCAGCCAAGCAGGTCCAGTTCTCAGAGGCCGTCCTCACGGCAGGGAACGAGTGTGTGGGGGTGCTGCTGGCCAGCGTGGAGCCCACGGGTTCGCTCATGGAGGCCATCTTGGTTTACGGCCTGGACCAGCTGGACTGCTGCGTGGCCTGTGGTTCCGATTACAGCCTGGCTGTGCTCAGCCTGCTCACTCTGGTACCGTTCTTCTCCTCTCTAATGTTTGTGGGTCGGGGGGGAAATCAGCAGCAAACATTGAAGCTCTGCGTTCTGAAGATCGAGCGACTGGAAATAAACCAGACTGCAGAGTTTTAGACGGTAGCTCCTGATTCCTGTCGTCCAGCAGCAGACTGGGGCTCCTACAGCTCCGCTCCTTCAGCCTCTGCCTGGAATCAAACCATCAGCATAAACCAGACCTGAAGGTTTCCCTTTCCTTCCATCTGCTCCTGCCTCTGACGGAGCTGCAGAGATGCTGCATGGTTTGATTTCAGCGGGGCGTTGATGGTTGGAGAATCGTTGCTTTGTTTCTGTTCCGCTCTGACTTGGAGCTGAAGCTGTGAATGTGTTTCAGATTGTGGATCAGGTGAACACCAAGCTTCCCGTCTCGTTTGTGGAGAAGCTCCTGGTTCCAGGCTCTCAGCTTCTGAATCTACGTTTCCATCCAGAGAAGGAGGTACGTGTTCCTCATTCCATCCTCAGAGAGGTCGGGTCGTTCTGACTCCTCTGTTGCTGGTATCTGATCATAAATCATCTGAAGCCTGAGGAGATACAGGCTCTCTGTTCTGATAGGAGTGTCTCCATTAGAGCTGTGAGTCCTAGACCCGAGCAAGCAGCAGTTTACTGAACCATGAAACAGTTCTATTCAGTTTATTTCTATAGCTCCAGTTCACATCATGTCATCTCAGGTCACTTTCCAGTTCACCAGATCATCCAGTCAGATTGATTCAAAGTTTTCTATCTAAGTAAAACCAGCTGATTGCATCGACTCATTGACTCTTCAGCAATCCCTCACACTAAGCATGCTTGTAGCGACAGTGGAGAGGAAAAACTCCCTTTGAACAGGAAGAAACCTCCAGCAGAACCAGGCTCAGTGTGAGCGGCCATCTGCTGAGGCCCACTGGGGTTCAAGGAGACAGAAGCAGACATAGAAAAAGAAGCATAGATACAAAAGGCAACTGTCAACCAGCTCCACAGGCGGCCCCGTCCAGGAAACACACAGCCAGGCAGACGTGCTCCGAGCCAGCTCCCATGTCAGAGGATGAAGAGAGCACATCCAGTTAGTCACAGTCAGAGAAACAGGACTACACTGGAAAACAGGCCAAGCTCCAACATCTAGAAACAAAGGTGGTGATGGCAGCAGCACAGCTGATATTGCTCTCCAGGATGGAGTCACAGCCAAACAGGAACAGACCAGATGAAGCTACTATGAGAAAAAGCAGAGAGAGCAGAACGTTAGAGATTGAACTAACAGATTCTGCAGAGTGGGAGAATAGAGATAGAATGAAGCAGAATGATGAAAAAGGGGTCCCTATGTCCTCCAGCAGTCTAAGCCTATAGCAGCACAACTATAGAGATAGATCAGGATAACCTGAGCCACTCTAACTAGAAGCTTTATCAAAAATGCATTAGTGAATTATTTTTTTTTTATTATTTTAAGAGTCCTTTGTTTTATCTCATAGTTTCAAACCTCAAATTCAAACCATAGCAACAGGAACGTCCCTCTAAGCAGCTCACCTTTAACCCTCGAGTCCCAGTCAGTGCTGGATTTAAACCAGCAGACGCAGCGTCAGACGGACAGACTGACAGCTGCTCTGCATGTCCACGCTCTTTGAGCCACTAGGTGCAGCAAACATCCCATAAACCTTTCTATACGCCGCCTGTTTACGCTGCCGCAACAAAGTTTAGATGGGAAGAAAATAGGCACCTGTGGTGGGGTTAGGGTTGCTCCCATAAATCAGAAGAATTCATAAGCTGGCAGCGAGAATCGGTCAGGCTGAGCGTATGTGGAGCCCCGTCTGGCCCCAGTTTATCCCAAAAACAGAGGCTGTAGAGGTACACATGTAGGACACCTCCTCCCATCAGCAGCTTCCCTGATCCAGAAGGCGCTGAAGCTGGTTTCCTGAAAGGTTTGAGCAGAACTGACCGCCCACCTCTCTTGGCGTCCTCCACAGGTGATGGCCGCTGTCCATGGCGTTTACCAGGCGCTGCTGAGCCTCAAGAACATCCCCACGCTGGAGGCGGCGTACAAACTGGTGCTGGGGGAGATGGCCTGCGCTCTGCGCAGCCTGATGGAGAGCCTGGTTCCGTCGGACCGGGACGCCGGCCCCTGCAGCCCGTGCTCCACCATCCAGCACCCCGCCTTCGCCTCCCTCAGCCTGCCTGTGGAGAAGGCTCAGTTCACCGTCATCTTCAACCTCAGCACCCTCACCACCATCGGGAACACCAAGAACTCTCTGATAGGGGTGAGCTGGTCTGATGACGCAGACTTCTTCCTCTGCTGGAGCTGCAGATGTGGATGCTGAAGGTCTGTTCTGTTTCCTCTAGATGTGGGCGTTGTCTCCAACAGTCTTCACTCTGCTGAGCCAGAACCTGCTTCTGGTCCACTCTGAGCTGGCTGTGTTCTACCCCGCCATCCAGTACGCTGTGCTCTACTCGCTGTATTCACACTGCACCAGGTAAGGGAACACGCTTTCTACTAGGGCTGCAACAACGAATCGATAAAAATCGACTTTTAAAAAAGTTGGCAAAGAATTTCGTCATCGATTTGTTGTGTCGCGCGATTAATGCGTCATTCGCCGCTGTCGTAAACACTGCCACTCGATTGAAACGCGGGAAGAAAAAAAATACAGCAGAGCGAGCCAGCGCCGCAGGTGAGCAAAGGCTGTTTTGAAAAGGCAGTAAAGTCAAATGTTCTAATGACCGATACCGCAAACGCAAGCTGCGTCTCAATTTCCAGACAGCCTGCGCTTTGTAAAGCGAAAAAAGTCATAACATGCAACTTTTGTAAAAACAAATGAACATGGCACGGAAGCACCACTGTTATGATGCAGCACCTGAAAAGGAAACACGTTGGAGCCTTCGATGGCAGTGAAGAGAGCTGATCAGCAGGGTGAGCGGCCATGTTTGTTTGGTTTTAAAGAGGGGAAACGTAACGTTAGTTTCTCAGGTAGCTCATCTGATGCTTTCCTTACCGTGTTAGTAGGTTACAGACAGTGATAAGGTTGGCTACTTATTTTACTTTTAATTTCATTTGAATTAGCTTAAGCAGCGTTTATATTTTCTTTATAAATAAATTAACTTGCAAATTATGAGGGCAAGGATTTTAAAGTTTAAATCTTCTGGCAAAGATAAAGTAAAGAAGATCCTGCAATTTATGGAATTAAAGCAGAATAAAATCCAGCAAGATCAGTAATATGTCAATTAATTATCTGCCACATTCCCATGTAAACATCTGTCTTTGGAGGATGTGTTTTTTAGCACCCCTAGTTCTCTCATTTTTATTCCAAATACAATTTATAATTTGAATCACAGGGCTATTTTTATCTCTATGGTTAAGTATTTTCTCAAGTAGCAACTTTAACTGCTATACTTTCCTGTCTTAAAAGGTTCTGCCTTTTAAGACAGGAAAGTATAGCAGTTAAGTTCTAGTCTAAAATAAAACTCATTTGTTGAAATGGGGGGCCTATTGTTTGAGCCCCTTAGGGGCTTTTAAAAACAAAAATGTCTTTTTTTGCGCTTTATGAAACAAAGTAGCCTATATTTTGTGGATGTACAGCTACATTTCTCATGTAAGTTTGCGTAGTTTTAACACAAACATTTATTTTTCATATTGCACCAGTACAGTTAATGAGCAACCTGTACTGGTGTGCTTGTTTGTTCTGTCTGAAATGTTTATTTTGGAATAAAGAGGTTAATATAAGAAATATTATTGTCCGATTAATCGAAAAAATAATCGGCCGATTCATCGATTTTTAAAATAATCGGTAGTTGCAGCCCTACACTTCACCATTGAAATTCACCAGAGCTATAGTGAAACTGACAATGCCCACGTGCATGGCAGCTGGATGCTGGAATACATCGGGTAAAAGTGGAAAAAAAGAGTTATTTCACCTTTCTGATTCCTGATCCTCCACGGACGGGTTGGTCGTTGGATCGCCAACTTGAAGAGGGAGGATTTGCCATCGAACTTCTGGCCAGAGAAAAAACCCGTAATATGTAGCCAACATTTGGAAGGCGCGTCTTTTAGCTTTAGTGACGTCCATGTCTCCTTTAGCTTAGGGAACCTTTGCGTACCTGGAAGCAGGAAGTATTCAGACGTTTCCCTCCACTGTTACTGGTGAACTAAAGGAATTGTTGTTTTCTCCGCAGACACGATCATTTCATCTCCTCCAGCTTGTCGTCGTCATCGCCGTCTCTGTTTGACGGGGCCGTCATCAGCACGGTGACCACGGCCACCAAGAAGCACTTCGCCACGGTTCTCGGCCTGCTGGGTAATCTGCTTTCCAAGGAGCACCTTTATCCCGATGCCAGGTTGGTGGATGATGGATGAGGGAGAAACCAGAGCTAGATGAATGTTTCCCGCCGTCACGCTGAGGCCGGTTCTGTTCAATAATCAGAAACATTCAGGGCAGCGATCGGCTGAATGAAGCATCGCTTCCTGGTGCTGCTCGGCTTCCTGTGATTGGCTGAACTGAATGTTTGTGTTTGTCAGGAAGCTCCTGCTGACCTGGGCTCAGGAAATCTCACTGCTGATGGTGAAGTCGGACACCTACAGCCCGCTCTTCTCCCTGCCGTCGTTCAGCAGGTTCTGCAGAGGTCTGCTCGATAACGGTGAGGCTCCAACCGCTCCTCCCTCCTCTGTGATTGAAGGCTCTCTGGGGAATGTTCACCGTGGTTTTTCCTCTTAGCTCTGCATGAAGATCACAGCATCTGCCTTCAGACGTGCCACAGCCTGCAGGTCCTCTCCCCCTCTCTGTCTACGGAGCTGCTGCAGAGGTGAGCCTCCTCCTTCTGGCCCTCTAGGCTTCCGTACTCTGTTTGATTTGCTCCGCTCCTTCCAGGTGCGTGGACGTCTGCAGGGTCCAGCTGGTTCACTCAGCGGTCAGAGTGAGGCAGGCCTTCGCCAAGCTGCTGCGGACGGTTCCTCTGGACGTGGCTCTCAGGTGAGTCGTCCTCTGAATGAAGCCGGCGGCGCTCTGAGATCCACGCTGAACGATCTGCGTTTCTCTCTGCTCCGCAGTAACCGCAGCCACGCCCAGGTCAGGGAGATCTCTCAGGCCATCCGCCACCACATGAGCCGCTCGCCCAGCAGCACCTTCCACCCCCAGGACTTCAGCGACCTCATCAGCTTCATCCTGTATGGAGTCCTGCATCGTGGAGGGTACCCGACTCCTAAGTCCTTAACCTGATCCATCGTAGAACCAGAGACGCACTGACTCAGTCTGACCGGCCCTGTTCTTATTCTGATCATTTACAGGATCAAAATTAGACGTTACTCAGATCTACCATTAAACTAGAGAGGCCTTAATTACAGCTAGAGCTGAACTAATGAGATTAATCAATTAGTGAAATAGCCGTCAACTAATTTAGTAATCAATTAACCGTTAACTGGAGTATAGAGACTCTAAACCACGCCTTTAGCTGACAGAGGGACCCACTTAGAGCAGGAATTATACCAACATTTCTATTTAAGATAAAATCAATCTGCTCTATAATCCAGAAAGTTTTAGTTTCACCTGGTTTAATTTCGTAAGAAGTCTTCTTTAAAGAACCTTTGGCCATCTGATTATTAATCAATTAAGTGAAAAAATTATTGATAGAGTAATCAATTTGCAAAATAATTGTTAGTTGCCGTTCTAATTACTGAGCTTCAGTCTCCACTGTGTTTTTAAACTGCAGTAGCAGTTTAAAAACACTCTGGTAAAAGGTTGAACCTCTTTACTCAAGTAAAAGTGAAAAAGTATTTGCTCCAAAAACTACTGAAAGTATAAAACTATGAAGTAACCTTTAAAAAAACAGCCAGATGCCACTAAGTGAACTGAAAGCTCAATTTTTCGACTATTTCTAGAAATCCTCTGAGATAGGGCCAAGGATGAGGGAGGTCTGGTTGGTCTCCGTCTCCCGATACGCTCTCGTCTGTGTCCGACCTTTCAGACATTTCAACATCTTTTTCTGAATCCCACATTGTAGCATGGCATAGACAATTCACGTTAGCAGTTTGAAGAACACCTGCTAGCTTCTGATGATTTCCTTTAGCTAACCAATGAGTGTTTGCCTTCTATGACTCATCCAATCACACTAGTTTTCACTAGATGTGGGCGGAGCCAATGATCTGCATTGGATGGAGCGCATGACGGGAAATAAAGATTTAGAAACATTAAACCGAAGCCAAGAGGAACGAGTAACGTTTGTTTTAAAAATGTAAGGAATAGAAAGTACAGATACTGGTGGGAAAATGTAATGAGTAGAAGTCCCTAAAAAGTGTAATTAAGTAAAGCTGTACTTTGTTACTTGATACCTCTGGATGCAGAGCAGGAAAAAACACGGTTAGGCTTCAACAGTTGCCTGTTTAGGTCAGGGGTCGGCAACCCAAACTGCTCAAAGAGCCATATTGGACCAAAAAACTAATCTGTCTGGAGACGCAAAATTGTAAAAGTCTTCTATCAGCCTTTTATGGCAACACAGGCTCTAAGTGTTTTATCCCACTATAGAATATGACTATATGGGCTTAAATATATAATAAGCATTCATCATTAAAAGTTCATCCTGGAGCAAATGTCTCATAGCAGGTGAGGGAGGAACAGTTCAGGTTTGGTTGCATTGATGAAATGATAGAAACAGGATAAAGGAATCTTTCTATGGTGGATGTGTTTCTGATGGGAGGAGCTGATTAAGGAACCAAGCAGGAAGTGACATCATCAGAGCAGAGCTCTCTAACCCTGAAATCACACATCAACAGCGTTCCTTCACTGCAAAAAATCTGAATCTAGATAAGTCATTTTTTTCTTAAAATAAGTGCATTTGGTCTTGAATTGAGGAGGTAAAAGAGACATTTTGTCAACGGAACAAGACAATTTACACTTAAAATAAGAAAACACAATTGCATTGTCTTATTTCAAGTGCATATTATCTAATTAGTAAAATTACTCATTCCATTGGCAAACTATCTCATTTACCTACTCAAATTAGGGGGGAATACACTTAATTTAAGAAATTTTTACTTATTTCTAGATTGTTTTTGCAGTGTGATTTTTATTTTGAGGATTTGGGAATATGTTAGAAAGTTCCCATCCCTGCATCAGAGCGCCACCTGTTGGATCTATGAACGGTTTTCTATGCTTGAAAGCAAACTAGCAGCAGTAGTGGAGTTTGGAGATGTAACCCACGTCTTAAAACTATCTTTGTTCTCCTCTAATTTATCCAGAAGTTCTGCAGTAGCACTTTTTCTCTCCCTCCCAGCCTGGTGGTGGGCTGCAGATTGAGCCTTCCCTGGAAATGCCTTTCCTAATCGTATTATCTGACTTCTCCTTCCAAAGCAATCATGCAGGCGATCCTTCCTGATTGTTGATGAAAGCAAATGATTTCCTCCATTATTCTTTGAATCCTCATCAACTATCTTCCTTTTTCCCCTTTGGGTTCCACGGCCTGAGAAACACCCGCCGCTTTGTTTGCAGCAGCCACCTGCCTGGCGCCGCGCCGCTCACACCTGCTGCAGGCTGGGACCTCTGATCTCTGGTTACATTTATTGTTTAGATCTATTTATTATACAGATGTTACAAAGCATTGGAAAACATGTTTGTTTGACCTCCTGCTAGGGTTGGGAATTGAAAAGATTTTCACGATTCCGATTCCCTTTTCGATTCTATGAAACGATTCGATTCTTTATCGATTCTTTTTTCGATTCCAATTTGGGGAAAAAAGGAGAACAAACAGTTTGATTATCAGCATCAACTTTGTTTACTTAACTATTGCACAATCTTACAAACTCAACAAGATCAAGATGTCCACAGGAAATGTGAAACTGGAGTAACATCTGTGTTTAAATGAAAAATGAATACAAGAACAAACTTAATAACCAACAATGTCTAATAACAAATGATGGGATAATAACCTATTTTAAATAACAAAAAATACTAATTATAAAACAGTAGTAGGGAAAATTAACAGTTCTTTTGCAGAAAGATGAGCATATCTGCTTTTTCTGGAAGGATACAGGATCTTTCAGGGCTTATGGTGTCTCCAGCCGTGGAGAACACCCTCTCAGATGGGGTGGAGGAAGCCTGCACACAGACGTAGTTTTCAGCCAGTCCAGATAGCAAGGGCAGCGTATCTTGCTTGTTCCACCACCACAGTGTGGCGCTATCCCTGCAGGGGATGGAGGGCAAGCTTTTATAGAGCTGGATTTCCTGGTCTACCCTCTGGGCTAAGGAAAGACGGGGCTTTGATTCACAAAGTGACCGCAGCTCGTTGTCTTCCTCCTCGAATAGTTCTTCCAACTTGCGTAACTTGCGTAACTTACGTAAAAAAACGTGACGTAAGTCGTGCTCCCCAGAGCCGGCGCTCTAGGCTCTGGTGCTGCGGGAATCGAAAAAAGAATCGTTCAGCGAGCTGCCAAATGATGCCATGGAATCGGAAAATACGGAACCGGTTCTGAACAGGAACCGGTTTTCGATTCCCATCCCTACCTCCTGCCCCATGTTAAAATAAACAACAACAAAAAATCATATATTTTTTGAAAAAGCTCCAGGGAGCCGCAGAGGGGGGGCACCAAAGAGCCGCTGGTTGCCGAGCACTGGTTTAGGACTGGACGATTAATTGCATTTGCAATATGGTCGCAAATTAACAAAACACAATTTTCAATTTATGGTCACATCTCTTTCAACTAATTTCAGTTAAGTGGTTAAATGTGTTATTCCAGGCCTTTAGGGGATGGGAATATGCTTAAAGTAGTTTTGCAAAGAAAGATGCAACTAGCTTGCAGATTCATGCCTGCTGCACTTTTTCACACAAAGGTTACAGGAAAGTCCTGCAAAGATGGAAACGAGATCTTCCAGGGTCAAGAAAAACTGGTTCCTGTCTGTTCAGACTCGAACCGTCTTAACGACCTCTGTGGTTCCTTAAGTTTGAGCGCAGCTCTGATTGGACGGACCAGTGGTTCTGATCTGAGAGGGAGAAAAATGAAGCTTGTGTCCTTAGCTTGTAGACATCAGGACCAAAGAGCAGAACTTTTCCCAGATGGATCCTCTAGATGTTTAGAAGTTGTGGTGCGGTCGGTGTTCTGGTCGCTGCCTTCAGCTCCTCTGCTCCTCTGCTGACAGGAAGGAGCCGTGGCTGGAGCGTCTGTACCACAGCTGCCAGCGGCTGGACAAGCGGGAGCGGCGTGGGAGCGCGGACGGCGGCCGGCCGGACGCCGTGCCCAGGGCGCTGCTGAAAACCGAGGCGGTTCTGTGGCAGTGGGCGGTCTGGGAGGCGGCGCAGTTCACCGTGCTGTCCAAGCTCCGCACGCCTCTGGGTCGGGCCCAGGACACCTTCCAGACCATCGAAGGTAAGAAGCCGATCCTTCAGAGCCGTGTTCAGGTTCTGCTGTGAGCTGACGGGTCTGTGTGGTTCTGATGAAGGGATGATCCGAAGCCTGGCTGCACACAGCCTGAACCCCGAACAGGACCTGGGAGCGTGGGCCGGTCCTGGAGGCGACGGCGACGGCCACCACTCCAACCAGCTCCGCCTCACCCTGCTGCTGCAGTACCTGGAGAACCTGGAGAAGTTGATGTACAACGCCTACGAAGGCTGCGCCAACGCGCTCACCGCGCCGCCAAAGGTACCGCCCACAGCAGAACCCGATGGGAGCGTCTGACCCGTTCACACGGCCGGCTGTGATGCGACGTGTCCTCCTCATCTCTTCCAGGCCATAAAGACCTTCTTCTACACCAACCGGCAGACCTGCCAGGACTGGCTGACCCGGATCCGCCTGGCCTTGATGAGGGTCGGGCTTCTGTCGGGCCAGCCCGCCGTGACGGTTCGCCACGGCTTCGACCTGCTCACAGAGTTCAAGAACGGCGGCGCTCAGGTGGGTATGGGGCCTGCTGGCGGTTCCTGCTCCGTCTGTCTGCAGACGCTGGATCAGCTGTGTCGTGTTCCCGTCAGGCTGCGGAGCTGGAGGTTCCCCTGGCGCTGCTGGTTGAGGCTCTGTGCGAGCTGCGCTGTCCAGAGGCCATCCAGGGCCTGGCCGCCTGGAGCCTCCTGACCTGTGGGAAGAGTCTGGGCTGGGTCTCCTCGGTGGCCCTGCAGGCGGAGGGACGGTGAGGATCTCAGAGGCTGCCCACCTTAAAGAGGCATTAAATAAAATCTAAAAGCATTTTTAACAATTAATTAGAAAGATGTTTAGATTGATGTAACAATGATGCAGAGTGAGCAGCGGCGCGTAGTTCAGGACGCGTCCCAATGAGCCACAGCCTCCGGAAGCTTATTGATGATGTAATTGATCACCTTCCCTCTCATTCCCATCATGCACTTCTCCAATATCTGTGTCTGCAGCTTTGAGAAAGCGGCGCTGGAGTATCAGGACCAGCTCTCTGCTGTGACCGGGTCGGACTGCAGCATCAGAAGCTCTGAAGGAGGCCTGCTGAAGCTCAGCAGCAGCCCCAAACACGCCGCCGATGGTGAGCTACCGTCTGCGTCCAGCTGACCGCAGCCGGAAAGGAGCCAGAAGGGACAATGCATGGAAAATAGCTCGATGCGCCGGGTCTGTTCTGCTGTCTGGGTGGGAAACCTTCCCCTTCGGATGTGGCTATTACCTGGTTCCAGCTGTGGGTCCCTGCCTGCGCTGACTGTTATCGATCGCGGTTCTTGTTATTCTGGAGGCCGGATCATAATCGTATGGAAATGGAGCTGTGGCTCTACTAAACTGGCAGCTAGCTAGGGATCATTGTTTTATGAAATAAAATATTTCATAAAACAATAAACGATGCTTTGAATCAGCTTTATTGGAGGAGTTGGACTGCCTGTCAACCTCTGTAGGGTCCAGGTAGCGCCTCATGCTAACAGTAGTGACAGTGACCCTAGCTAAATGCTAAACTGGTGAAAAAGAGTCAGAAAACATGAGGAGGGGAAACATGTCAGCGGCCTCCACCTGTAAAACCATTCCTGTTCTGATGGTCGTCTGGTTGTTGCCCCTCTAGTTCACCTGTTGTTCATTTCATTAACACCAAAGCAGCTGAAACTGATTAACACCCCCTCTGCTACTGACCTGACCAAATCAATATCACACAAGTTTAACTAACTTCATGCTATACTATGATTACAAAGTCTTCCTTTCATTTTTTTGAGTAGTGTAGTTTGCTTTATTGAATCCAACTGATGCTGTGAGAGCAGGATTGATGATAAAATAATCTGCCGGGATGTGATGATCCAACATAGTTTGCTGTATCGGTTTGGACGCCACAGAATGTTCGGGTGATTTTTGTCTAATCCGTTTACTTTCCAGATCGAGTCCTTCGGATAATTCAACATTCCTTTTCCCGATCCAAAGCCATTCCCACAATTGGCATCAGTACAACAGAGCATCGTAATGACGTTTTAACAACGCGTTCAGAGTGCTTAACGATGCGTGAAGTAGTGTTTCTATACACCTGCTGGAGAATGTTTGACTACTCTAAACCTCACAACTGGATTTCGTCACCTGACTGATCTAGAGGCGTCCAGATACTGTAAATTTCTCTCCATTTTTATTACTTAGAGCATTTTTAGTGCGATATAGACTACATGGAGAAAAGAGGCTGATCTACCATCACTCACCATAAACTCACTCCTTTCTATTTGACCCTCAATGACCTGCAGTAGCTCCTTTTTCCAGACAGGCTGTAAAAGTCTTTGACTAAAGGAGCTGCTCAGCTCCTCTCCAGTCTGCTGCAGAGGGTGGAAGATGGCGTCCATGATGGATGGAAGCTTGGACAGCTCCCTCCTCTCAGCCACTTCCTCCACTGAGTCCTTAAAAAACTTTATAAAGGTCATTTATTGTAATAAAAATGGCCGCCCTCAGAAGGAAGAGGTTTAGCTCACGATGGAAATGTGTGAAAATGGAAAGTGAGCTTAATGCTAAGGTTAGACGGAGGCAGCGGACGGTTCGACGCTCGTTCTATTTGTTGGAAAAAGCTCCCAGAGCAGCTTCTCTGATTTTCAGCAAAATTTCCATTTTTCCAACGCCAGCAGCTGCTGCATCTGAAAAGTTTTTAATAAAGGGCATATAGTGTACGCCTGAACGCATAGCCAGCTAAAAGCCTGAACCAGGTTTCCACATCTGGTTCAGAACCAGAACAGAAACTGTGATTTTCTCCTTTAACGAGGACGAATACGAAGCAATCAGAGTCTCAGTGGTTTTATTGATGCTCGCTGGTTTAATCACTGCTGCTAAATGATCTTTGATCTTTTGTAGAGCTGGTGGAAGTTCATTATCTCTCAGAACATTTTCCAGATGCTGCCGTGTTTTAATTGGTTTAAAGCTTTTGTTTGACGAGGGGATGACAGGATTGGTTCTGTGGTGGCTGGGTTCGATTGAGTTCGGTTGGCAGCCGGGTGTTAAGGCTGGCGGTCAGTGTTGGAGCCTTGTGTGAACCAGAACAGAAACTGGTGCGAAATCAACCAGAACACAAAGTTCTTTTCACTTCTGTGACCATGAGCTGTTCTGCCACCTGCTGAGGTTTGATCAGATTTAAAAAACAACCCTCTGGACTTTGTTTCCAGGTTTGAAGACGTTTCTCTTCCATCCAGGAAGCTTTTTCAATTCAAAATGTCAGAAATAGCGTTTAGTTCCAGGTTTTATCAGCAGCCCAACAAAGCCTGGTTTTAGTTTAGAAAACATGCAAATAGAAACGGATGAACGGGTCCCCCCCTTTGGAATGGGGGTCGTTTGGCTTCTTTGTTAGCCTGCAATGCCCCATACACTGGAAAAATCCAAATAATAAGAACAATAAGTGCATTTGTTCTTGAATTGAGGAGGTAAAAGAGACATTTTGCCAATGAAACAAGATGATTTACATTTAAAATAAAAACACAATTGCATTGTGTTATTTCAAGTGCATTTTATCTAAATATCTTATTTTAAGAGTAGAAATATCCAATATTCCACTGGAATATCATCTCATTTACCCACTCAGCTACTCTTTAAGAAATTTTTACTTATTTCTAGATAGTTTTTTCCAGTTTACCTGTCTATGTCTCTGAAAGGGGGTCGTTTAAGGGAATAGTTGGCCTGGCTGAACAGGCGAGGTCTTCTGTTCTCCTCTAAAGGGGTTGGAGCTGCGATGATAGCGGGAACTATCGCTGCATTGTAGGTTGTAAGGTTGGTTTTTCTTAACATAGATGGCTTCCTTCACGTCCCTCTCAAACCACCTGTCTTCTTTGTCCAAAATGTGAACATTCTGGTCCTTTGTCCATCAGGTGTAGATGGACAGAGTCTTGTCCAGAGGAATTGGAATAACTGTGACGTCGATGACTGAGAATCTTCATCAGTGTTTCTCTGAGGCGTCCCTGATCCGTATCTAACTGTTGTTCCCTCCATAAGGTGACGTCAGGAAGACTGTGCTGCTGAAGTCGACTGAATGCTCCCCTGAGGTGATTAACTTCCTGGCCAACAAGGCGTGCCAGTGCTACGTGTCTCTGTGTGACTGGGCGGCGGTGAAGGAGTGGCAGGCCACCGCCAGCACCCTCAAACAGAACTCCGTCAGCGTCGGCCTGCGGACCGACTTCAACTACATCCAGGCTCTGAGCCGCTTTGAGGAGGGAGACCTGTCCGAGTGCGGGGCTCAGCTGGAGCTGCTGCCTGGGGAGGACTACAGCGCTCCGGGGGGCAACAAAGACAAGCTGGGTGAGTCTGATAACCAGGCGCCGCCTTCAGTACGCTGCGCTGAAACCAGCTTTGATAGGACGGACAATGTTTTTGCAGATCTGAAGCGGCTCCTGCCCTCCATGAGTCCTGATCCGGCGGAGCTGCAGAGAGCCATCGAGGTGCAGCTGCTCCGCAGCGCCGTAAGCGCCATGGCTAAAAGCGGCCAGCAGCAGGAGCAGAGGAGCGCTACATCCAGCCCAGAGTAAGAAGGCCTCTGCTGTCCCGCCTCTTGCCCTCGTGTTGCGGCCTGTTTTTAACTGTTGACGTCACGTTGCAGTACTTTGGTGCGATGCTTGAAGCAGACAGGAAGGATCTGCTTGGGTCCTCTTCGCCTGTCCACCCTCACCCTCTGTGACGCCCTGCCCACCCTGTCCACCCTGCAGCTGCACTGCACCAGCGCCCTGGAGAACGCCCTCACAGGCCAAGAAGTAAGCAGAAACCAAGCAGACCGAGAAATGAAGCCAGGTCCGTTGGTTTAAAACGCTCCCCTGCTTGTTTTCCAGGATTGTCTGATTCCTCTCAGCAGCGAAGCCTTGAACTCCTGCAAACAGCAAGACGTGCAGCTTTTCCTCCAAGCTCTGCGCTACTCCACATTCCAGAGACAGCTGCTCCAAAACCTGAAGAAAGGTGAGCTTCCTGGATAGATGCTCGGGTTATAACCCAGCCCCTCCCTGACGGCCTTCTGTCTTCCACAGGTCCCTCCTCCGCCGTAGACGGCCATCTTCTGGAGCTCTGTCTAACCGCCGTCAAGTTTGCCCGTAAGAAAGGCAACATAGCTCTAGCATCTCGGCTCCTCAGCCAGTGCAGCAACGGGACGCAGGAGGAGAAGAACGAGGATGTGTGTCAGGCCTTCAAGCGCCTCTCCCTGGGGGGGACAGTGGGGGAGAAATGGGGAGCAGAGGTTCAGATGGAGAAGGCCAAAGTTCTGCGAACGGCTGGTAAGGAGCAGAACCTGGTTCTCTGATCTGAACGTGTTTAGTTTTACTTTTTAACAGCAGCAGCGTCATCATCTGATGCCGTCAGGATTTGGTTTATCCAAAAAAAAAAAGTTTTTTTTTCTCATTACTGTGAAACTAAAGGATGTATTATAAAACCGGATGATGGAAATGACATAAAGCGCTTTGGAAGATGTCGAGGTTCCACTTAAAGCTAAAAAGCTTTAAGTCCCCCAAGTCCCCTTTAGGTTGACGGTCATGAAAGCAATGGATGGTGGAAAGGACGATTCGTCTAAAACATCCGATCTATTTTATTAGATTGTTTATCATGAAACTTTATGCTACGTTCAGAGCGAAGCAGCAGGAGCAGCAGAAACACGCGTCCTGCTTCATTTCTGATGCTTAAACCAGTTTAGTTCTGATGCGGCTGAAGCATCTTTGCTGCTCTAGCTGCTCGGTGGTAAAGTGGGTCTGATGCGCGGTGGGCGGAGCTACTCTATCCTTTCTCTGCCTGGAACAATGGCGGCTATATTAGCTGTGATCAGCGGGTAGAAAGTAGTTAGAATCTCTGTTGAAGTGAGAAAGTCCTCCTGAAAACATGGTCTGTGCAGTCAGTTCATCCAGATTACCATCCTGCCTTCAAAGATTATTTCTCTGTGGGAGCCGCTCAGACCCCCACATACCGGCGCTGCGCTGTCACTGGGAATCCCCAGCAGCAGCTGCCTCAGGCCCGCTCGCCTCTCCAGGGTTTTCCCCTCCTGTTGGTGGCGGCTGGAAGTAGATGTTAGCGTTTTTCAGGTCTGTGCTACAAACTGCAGGCAGCAGGATAATAAAAGCCAACATATTCTGCCGGCAGGTTTCTACATTCGAAGTTAATTTAGGCGTTAATAAACTGTTTCAGAGGAGTGATCATAGCGCTCTGCATCAGCAGTGCTGCGTCTGACTCCCTGCCAGCTCCCAGATCAGCTTCTCTCATTGGTTGATGCGGCGCGTCCAGCAGCTGAAGTTCAATGTTTCCAGCTCCAGCGGCTGCTGCTTGTAAAGCACCTCTGATGCTCAGGAGCTCATAAGCTGCTGCTCTAGACGCTGCCGGACCTTTTGCTGCGCCTTTATGCGCGTCAACAATTGACTTTGCATGGAAATAAGACGGACATCTGACCTTCCTTTAAAGCAGAGGCTCCCAGTCCGGTGGGTTTTAGCTATGTCTCTGTTCCAACACACCTCATTCATATCAGGGATCTTCTTCTGCAATCAGAAGCAACAAGGAAAGACATAAACCCTGCAGGACAGATTCTGCTGCTGGGAACCACTGATTTAGACCACAGGGAAATCCAGCTGAAAATAAAGCAGAACATGTTAGCAGCTGGATGAGTGATCAAATCACTTATGAGACATTTAAGGAGAGAAAGTAATGAAGCAAAGCTGATCTAAGGAAGCCCAGAGAGCCCATTGGTGGACCCAAATCCTGACTTTCCAAACTTTAAATACTCCTAAACAGAACATTGACAAATGACCATTTATCATAATTTTTTTTCTGTTTTCAAGGCTGCACTTCAAAAAAAATAAATTGTCTAGAGCTGTTTTAAATGAAATTTCTTTTTGTATACACTCGTATATATAAAATGATCAAATAAATCTGAATCTCTCCGAGTCTAAGACCAGCCCCAATGGAGATCAGCTCCTCTACTGAACCCTGGATGTGAAAGAAGCCTGTAGATCCAGGTGTAGTTGTCATGTTATTTGAGGCTGAAGGTCTGGTTGTCCTCCTGCAGCAGTGCGTCGCAGTGAGCTTGTTGCACATATTTTTGATTTCTGCCCAACATTGAAGCGTGCTCTGCGTTACGTTATTCCACGCCACAATGCCAGAGGGCCGATAAGGAACTAGCTGTGGGTCTAGATACGGCGGTGAGGAAGTGGGGGCGAGTTTGTCCGACGGCAGAGGGACATGAGGGCCAAAAAGAGCGGAGATCCAGGTGGAAAAAGGTTCCCAGCCGTCTGACGCACCTCGCTCTTCTAGCGGGTCAAACTTCACGAGTTGTTTTCCGCAATTTTGGTCATAAAAACAAACCAAGCCGGCCTCCTGTCTGCGGCACTGTCTGCCATCAGCTACAATCTGGGAGAGGAGCAGCGGAGCGTCTGAGAGGGGGGGGGGGGACGTCTGGAGCCGAGGTATTGCGTTCCACCATTGCACTGATTTTATGCAGTATTTTTTGATGCAAGGCCTTTCAGAATCTATAATCTACTATTTTTCAGTGAATGAGGTTTTAATAGGCCTGGGTGGAGTGCAACTTTTCTACTTCTGTTATTTGCATAACGATATTACAGCTTTCATTGATTTATTTCAAATTTGAAACATTGTCTAGCCTGTAAGGTGTAAAAAAAAAAAAAAAACAATTAATCGAATCGTATCGTGGTGTATTTTTGAGTATCGAAAATAATCTAATCGTTGGGTCAGGAAATCGATACTGAATCGAATCTCCCTACTACCTGGATGTAAAATAGTTGCCATCATGGCTTCATGTCAAGCTGCTGCCTACCTTTGTGAAGCAGGAAAAAGACTAAAACAAAGTGAATACAGTAGAACTTTTTATTGCCTACCTGGAATGGGTGACAAGTGCTTTGTGGACTTGGAGAAGGCGTTCGACCGTGTCCCTCGGGGGGCCCTGTGGGGGGTTCTCCGGGAGTACGGGGTGCCAGGCCCTTTGATACGGGCTGTCAGGTCCCTGTATGACCGGTGTTAGAGTCTGGTCCGCATTGCCGGCAGTAAGTCGGGCTCGTTTCCGGGGAGAGTTGGACTCTGTTCTGTTCATTACCTTCATGGACAGAATTTCTAGGCGCAGCCAAGGTGTTGAGGGGATCCGTTTTGGTGGCCTTAGGATTGCGTCTCTGCTTTTTGCAGATGATGTGGTCCTATTGGCTTCATCAGGTCGTGATCTGCAGCTCTCGCTGGATCGGTTCGCAGCCGAGTGTGAAGCGGCCGGGATGGGGATCAGTGCCTCCAAATCCGAGGGCATGGTCTTGAGCCGGAAAAGGGTAGAATGCCTTCTCCGGGTCAGGGGGGGTGTCCTGCCCCAAGTGGAGGAGTCTAAGTATCTTGGGATCTTGTTCACGAATGAGGGAAGAAGGGAGCGGGAGATCAACAGGCGGATTGGTGCAGCATCTGCCGTGAAGCGGGCGCTGTACCGGTCCGTCGTGGTGAAGTGAGAGCTGAGTTAAAAAGCGAAGCTCTCGATTTACCGGTCGATCTACGTTCCTACCCTCATCTATGGTCATGAACTCTGGGTCATGACCAAAAGAACAAGATCGCGGATACAAGCGGCCGAAATGGGTTTCCTCCGTAGGGTGGCTGGGCTCTCCCTTAGAGATAGGGTGAGAAGCTCGGTCATCCGGGAGGGACTCGGAGTAGAGCCGCTGCTCCTCCACGTCGAGAGGAGCCAGTTGAGGTGGCTCACCATCTGGTTAGGATGCCTCCTGGACGCCTCCCTGGTGAGGTGTTCCAGCCACGTCCCACCGGGAGGAGGCCCAGAGGGAGACCCAGGACACGCTGGAGAGACTATGTTTCTCGGCTGGCCTGGGAACGCCTTGGGGTTCCTCCTGAAGAGCTGGAAGAAGTGGCTGGGGAGAGGGAAGTCTGGGCCTCCCTTCTTAAGCTGCTGCCCCCGCGACCCGACCCCGGATAAGCGGAGGAAGATGGATGGATGGATGGATGGAATGGGTGACAATAGTTGAAGAAACTTTTGGCTCTCAAACTGGCATCAGTGCCCTCCCTGCCGGTTGCTGGATCGTGGACCCGCCCCTGGAATCGGTCCACCACTAATAAATACAGCTGAGACAGGTCAGGCGGTTTCGGGGGAAATACCAATGTAAGCTGGAGTACAGCATGTTGGAATCTGACTTGTAAATAAACGGTTCCCCCCATCCGGTCGGAAAGATGAAGTGAATCATCTCCGTTGTCTTGATTTTTTATTTTTTAAACCATTTTTATTACCATTTTGAGCCCCAGACACGCAGAGAAACGTTTCCTCCTCAGTGAGGAAGAGTTTGGGATGTAAAAGTCTGTCGGATGGGTTTGGTTTCCTCTGCAGGTTTGGTGGCTCAGATGTTTCCCTCCAGATGGCTGGGAGGTCTGATCTCTCCCAAAATTAAAAATACGAATTCAGGGCAACGGAAAGTTTTTAAATCCGGCCATCCTTGGAAGTCCTTCCATGTTTTGGGGTTTCAAATGGCGGCAGCGTTGGAGGTGAGAAACCTCCTGATGGTAGTCGGTGTAGCTGAGGTGTGACGGCAGCAGGAGGGTTAGTGGCTGAATCATGCCTCAGTCTGCAGCGGCAGCAGCAGGTAGATCCCTCAAGCAGATGTAGTCCAGGTGTGGGAGCGTTGTGTCGTGTCTCTGAGCTCCGTCTGAACGGTTTGTCGTCTGCAGGCCAGTCGGTGGTTGCCATGGAGATGCTGAGCAGTGCGGCCCTGTCCTACTGCCAGCTGGGGAAGAACGAAGGAGCGGCCTGCCGCTCTCTGCTGACTCTCTGCAAATGGCTGCTGGCCGACTGGAAGGACATGACTCCTCAGCTGAAACAGGCAAGCTTCGCTCCGCCGTCCATCCGGATCCTTCCGGACGCCGTTTAATCAACTGATCCGTTTGTTTCAGGTGGTGAAGAAGTCCGGAGCTGTAAACTCTTCCGCTGCGGTCAACATGTCCCCTCTGAGCCAGAACATCAGCCAGCTGCTGGAGCTTCCTCTGGAAGACCAGAGCGTCCCCCACATCACCGTGGTCACCTCCGGTCAGACGGCTCAGCAGATATACTGTTAGGACCCCCCCCCCCCAGAGTCTAACTACCTGCTGTCTCTGTTTCCAGTCAACGTAGGAGTGGGGGAGGCAGACTTCGTGCTGGGCCAGCTCTACCAGCTGTCCACCAGCCTGGCTCCAGAGATGGCCAAGTCCTGGGCAGCTCTGGCCAGCTGGGCCTACCGCTGGGGCAGGAAGGTGGTGGATAACGCCAGGTGAGTGAACGGCGTCCTGGAGGAACGTCTGCACGCTGCTCTGACCTCCGACCTCGTCTCTCTGCACTGTTCCAACAGCAGCGCCCTGTTTGCTTTAGGGCTGAAACGATTAATCCATTATTGAAATAATCGTCAACTAATTTAGTAATCGATTAATCCGTAACGTTAGAACTCCCACAGCCGTCATTTTGACGGTTCTGAGATTTTAAAGGGAAAGAACTATATTTAAAATTAATCTGATGTTGCTCATGTTAATTGACTTTTTCAGTTTCTAGATTTCCTTCATTTTCACGTAGCTTTAAAAAAAAAATAGTAAAAAATAAATATGGTTAATTTTACCTCGATCTCCCAAAGCTGTGATTTTGACGGCTCTATTAGTGGCATTGTAAAGATGTTCAGTCCCGTTGCCTAGCAACCAACATTCCACCTAGAACTCTTTGGCTAATATGGAAAAACGGCTTTCAGAAGTAATCGAACAGCGAAACAGGCTTTAGAAATGCTTTAAAATATTGATGATAGCGATTCGGGCGGAGGGGAAGAGACCGATGAGGAGGACTGGATAGGAAGCGGCTCAGATTATGACAGCGAGTCTCAGGATGATCAACGCAGAGGGTAACCCTAACCTAACACAGGTAGGGTGGGTGTGTCGGATCAGATGATTAGAAAGGATTCTATAAAAGCTGTGACACAAAGGCGGCCTGTGGCTGTAATTTATGATCTCCTGGAAATGTCAGCTATAAACGCTTTGGTATTGTTCAGAAGCTGTTTGTACGTCACTTTTTCACGCAGAGATTTTATCCTTGAACTGGTAAAACAGTTGCGGGCAAAACGCAGGTTTCCAGCCCCTCCGCCGCAGTAGAGCAGCTTTGGCGAGGCACAGAAAACGCCGCCAGGAGCTTCAGCGCTGCACAAAGAAAGCGCTCATATTACGTTTGTCATAAATGTGAAAAGGTGGTCTGCAGGAAATGTTTGGGGGGAATCAATCAATTACTGTAAATACTTAGAAAAACCTGTGTAGTAAAACATTCCTACTCTACGGATTTATTTTTAATACAGATTTAGAACACAAATAATAGCATACAATACAGCCTTAAAATAAATCTAATATATATTTTTTAAAGGTTTACACATCCACTTTAAGAGCCATATGAGCAAGATAAGCAATTACTAATATGGCAGCATCACACGGCTTTGACACCTGGGTGTTGGGTGTGTCTAAGGTGGGCTCAGTGTCACTAAGGTATGAATCATTCTGGCGTCATTATGTACGAGGAAGCGGGTGCGCCGGTGGTGGTCGTAGTTTCTGTTGACCGTGCTGTATTGTCGCTTTATTGTCGGCATCATAGTGTAGTTAAGCCTGGTCAGTATGTGTCAGTCAATGTAAAGTCTATGAAGGCCAAATGGAATAAATGGATGATTGCAATTACAAGAAGCGGCTTGGAGTGTTTTGATGATGAGATGAAATCACCGCGTTTATCCAGTGCGGCCCTCTACAGCACCGCTGGTTAGCCGCGCAGCTAGCAGTGATTTCATCATAGTTTGCCATAGTTCCCCCAGAAAATGGGCATAGGTGGGTAGAAGGCCCCTCCAGGGCAGCCCGTTATCATTAAGTGCTAAACATAGGGAGAAAACCTTTAGATATTATCGACAATACTTGAACACCAATAAGAGCCGTCTTCAGAGAGCTCATCTAAAGGCAAAATAACAGATTAGTGTTCGGATTCAGCTTCAGCCCAACAACAATCCATTTATTCTAAATGCTGCTTGAATCTGCGGCTCCTCTGTCTTCCTCCTTCCACCCTTTATCTGCCACGTTACAAGAGCTGGGAGCAGAGGAGGCTCTGCAGGGACCTACCACTCCTTAAAGAATCAAGCAGCACTCAGCCTGCTCTCTGTCTCTCTCTCTCTCAGTCAGGGGGAGGGTCTGCCGCTGCTTCCAGAGGAAAAGAAGGACATAGAGGATCTGCTGCCAGCGAGCACCAGTGAAGAAGACAAAGAAACCATTTTCAGCATCCTGGGACAGGCCATGTGTCGACCCACTGGGATTCAGGTAAACCAGTTATCTTCTGGCAGGAGTGATGCATCGATTAGAGGTACGGCCGAGGCGGTGAGGAAGTGGGGGCAAGTTTGTGCAACAACGGAGGGACATGAGGGCCAAAAAGAGCGGAGATCCAGGTGGAAAAAGGGTCCCAGCGTTCTCCCGCACCTCGCTCTGCTAGCTGCTCCATCTTCACCAGTCGTACCAAACAGGAAATACGCACAGTGTAGAGCAGATGTAGATTTGACCAATCAGAGGCCTCCTGCATGCGGCACTGTGTGTGGCCACCTACAATTTTGGAGGAGGCGCACCAGAGTGTGTCCTCTTTATCGTAGATAAAGAGGACACGATAAAGAGGACACACTGATGATAAAGTACCAGTTTATCCCAGTTCGGCTGTGTCGGGATATAGATGGATATTTATATATATATATATATATATATATATATATATATATATATATATATATATATATATATATATATATATATAGTTATTGCATAGGGTATCAAATAGTAGTTGCACATTATGCACTGCACAAGTTATTATGGTTTGATTGTTGCGTTGTGGAGTCTGGTTGCAGCAGGGATTAAAGTTCTAATAGAAAACCACATATAGTTACTCATTTGATTTGTACAAAAAAATAAAGTCGTTGGGAAATCAAATTTAAATGTCAGGTAATTCTGGCTTAAACGTGTATATAAAGGTACTCTTTATCAGACCATATTGTCCCAAAAGTTAGAAAATTTTTAAACAATAGTGTTTTTTCCCCATTATCTTCTGCAGGCCAGTTAGTTCTACGTCAGCCTAAACACCTACATTCAGCCAATCATATATCAACAGTCATCTGTCAATCAAATGTTTTCGGTCATGGCATCTTGATTCATGTGTCGCAGAATCCTTTCCTTTCCCATTGAGTTGCGTCCCAGTGTTCACGGGGATGGACGTCTGTGTCTTCGGCAGGCGTAGAGCTAACAGAACTGGCAGCGTTGCGAGGCAAGGGCTCAAACATGTACGGCTGGAAGCCTTCTACACCAAACCAAGCTTCTGCCGCCCTGGCGTCCTCTTCCACAACATCTTCGTTCCCGCTTTCCTCCTCTAAATAAAAAATGGATGACGGAGGAGACTCATCCACGACCTCCGACACTAAACTCTCCTCCTCTTGCATGTTTCCTCTGTCCATAGCGTTCCTTGACAGCGTCGTTTCAAAGTCACCAATTTAGTGCTACTTGGTCCCAATGGAATTTCCCATTGGGAACCTACTAGCACTAAGTTGCTAACTGGTTAGCAAGATGCTTCCAACAAACCGGCCTCAACCAAACTTGCTTGCGAACCTTCTGCCACAACAATCCCGCCCCCTTGATAATCGACCAATCACATTCACTTTATTCAGTCGTGTAAAGTCGGGCACCACTCGGGAAAATTCAGGAATGCAACGATTGGAACAGCCGCTTCCTACGACTTAACAACTGCAATATGGCTTTATGGGGAATCTATCCTTCAGCAGCCTGTCTGACCTTCTGTCGGGTTAGTTGAATATAGAAATGGAAGTCTGTCTCCTGTGGCGTTGACCCATTCCTCCGTTCCGTCCGCTCCAACAGGACGAGGACATGGCTCTGCAGCAGGAGGATGATGAGGACGACATGGTGGACGTGATCTGGCGGCAGCTCACCGCCTCGTGCCCCTGGCTCGGAGATGCAGGCCAGCACGTCACAGACGGACTGATTGGGGTCTGGAGGAGGGTGGTGGACCGGATCTTCGGGCTGTACCGTGTCTCCTGCCACGCCTATTTCACCTTCCTCAAGCTGAATGCAGGACAGGTGAGACTTGGCGGTTAGTGAAGGTTCTGGACCCGGGTGCTGGTTCTGCCCGGTTTTACCGCCATTGTTTCCTTTTTAGGTTCATGTTGACGAGAACGACCCAAAGCTGCTGCTGTCCTGCCAGGGCGGCAAACAGAGCAACGATGATGTCATCGTGATGGCGACGCTGCGTCTCCTCCGGCTGCTGGTAAAGCACGCTGGAGAGCTGAGGGAGGGGCTGGAGCTGGGCTTGGCCTCCACCCCCACCGCTCCCTGGAGGCGTAAGTACTGCAGCCATGGAGCAGTGAACCCTTCATGTCGGAGCCTCATCATCCTCTTCATCCTCCCCAGGCATCATCCCTCAGCTGTTCTCGCGTCTCAACCATCCAGAGGCCTACATCAGACAGAGCATCTGCAGCCTGCTGTGCCGGGTGGCCCAGGACTCCCCCCACCTAATCCTCTACCCGGCCATTGTGGGGTCCCTGTCCTTAGGAGGGGAGGCTCAGAGCGCAGGTACTCCCCAGCTCCTGCAGGCTGATGGCATCCAATGCTACTTTCAGACCGCACGCAGCAGAACCATTTAAAATGGCTGAAGCATCTTTGCTGCTCTAGCTACGCGGTGGTAAAGTGGGTCTGATGCGCGTTGGGCGGAGCTACCCTATCCTTTCTTTGCCTGGAACAATGGCAGCTATATTTGCTGTGATCAGCGGGTAAAAAGTAGTTTGAATCTATTTTATTTAGGTGAGAAAGTCCTCCTGAAAACAGATTACCATCCTGCATTCAAAGGGGTTTTACTCTTATTATAATAAAACTGAGTTCAGTAGCAGCAGACTCTTGTCTGGAATGTACATTACTCGCATTTTACTCTCATTTGCCTAAAAACAGATTGGTGCAAAGGAAAAAAATAAAAAATAGCATGGTTATAGCAAGGAGGTGTAATGTTAGCATGTTAGCATTAGTAAGTACGGCCAATGTAGGCATTAGGACGGAGGGCTAATGTTAGCATTAGTAAGGACGGCCAATGTTGGCATTAGTAAGGACGGCCAATGTTGGCATTAGTAAGGACGGCCAATGTTGGCATTAGTAAGGACGGCCAATGTTGGCATTAGTAAGGACGGCCAATGTTGGCATTAGTAAGGACGGCCAATGTTAGCATTAGTAAGAACGGCCAATGTAGGCACTAGTAAGGACGGCCAATGTAGGCACTAATAAGGACGGCCAATGTTGGCACTAGTAAGGACGGCCAATGTTGGCACTAGTAAGGACGGCCAATGTTGGCATTAGTAAGGACGGCCAATGTTGGCATTAGTAAGGACGGCCAATGTTGGCATTAGTAAGGACGGCCAATGTTGGCACTAGTAAGGACGGCCAATGTTGGCACTAGTAAGGACGGCCAATGTTGGCACTAGTAAGGACGGCCAATGTTGGCACTAGTAAGGACGGCCAATGTTGGCATTAGTAAGGACGGCCAATGTTGGCATTAGTAAGGACGGCCAATGTTATCATTAGTAAGGACGGCCAATGTTGGCATTAGTAAGGACGGCCAATGTTGGCATTAGTAAGGACGGCCAATGTTGGCATTAGTAAGGACGGCCAATGTTGGCATTAGTAAGGACGGCCAATGTTATCATTAGTAAGGACGGCCAATGTTGGCATTAGTAAGGACGGCCAATGTTGGCATTAGTAAGGACGGCCAATGTTGGCATTAGTAAGGACGGCCAATGTTGGCATTAGTAAGGACGGCCAATGTTGGCATTAGCAAGGACGGCCAATGTTGGCATTAGCAAGGACGGCCAATGTTGGCATTAGCAAGGACGGCCAATGTTGGCATTAGTAAGGACGGCCAATGTTGGCATTAGTAAGGACGGCCAATGTTGGCATTAGTAAGGACGGCCAATGTTGGCATTAGTAAGGACGGCCAATGTTGGCATTAGTAAGGACGGCCAATGTTGGCATTAGTAAGGACTAGTAAGGACGGCCAATGTTGGCATTAGTAAGGACTAGTAAGGACGGCCAATGTTGGCGTTAGTAAGGACGGCCAATGTTAGCATTAGTAAGGACGGCCAATGTTAGCATTAGTAAGGACGGCCAATGTTAGCATTAGTAAGGAGGGCCAATGTTAGCATTAGTAAGGAGGGCCAATGTTGGCATTAGCAAGGACGGCCAATGTTGGCATTAGCAAGGACGGCCAATGTTGGCATTAGCAAGGACGGCCAATGTTGGCATTAGTAAGGACGGCCAATGTTGGCATTAGTAAGGACGGCCAATGTTGGCATTAGTAAGGACGGCCAATGTTGGCATTAGTAAGGACGGCCAATGTTGGCATTAGCAAGGACGGCCAATGTTGGCATTAGCAAGGACGGCCAATGTTGGCATTAGCAAGGACGGCCAATGTTGGCATTAGCAAGGACGGCCAATGTTGGCATTAGCAAGGACGGCCAATGTTGGCATTAGCAAGGACGGCCAATGTTGGCATTAGCAAGGACGGCCAATGTTGGCATTAGCAAGGACGGCCAATGTTGGCATTAGTAAGGACGGCCAATGTTGGCATTAGTAAGGACGGCCAATGTTGGCATTAGTAAGGACGGCCAATGTTGGCATTAGTAAGGACGGCCAATGTTGGCATTAGTAAGGACGGCCAATGTTGGCATTAGTAAGGACGGCCAATGTTGGCATTAGTAAGGACTAGTAAGGACGGCCAATGTTGGCATTAGTAAGGACTAGTAAGGACGGCCAATGTTGGCGTTAGTAAGGACGGCCAATGTTAGCATTAGTAAGGACGGCCAATGTTGGCATTAGCAAGGACGGCCAATGTTGGCATTAGCAAGGACGGCCAATGTTGGCGTTAGTAAGGAGGGCCAATGTTGGCGTTAGTAAGGAGGGCCAATGTTGGCATAAGTAAGGAGGGCCAATGTTGGCATAAGTAAGGAGGGCCAATGTTGGCATAAGTAAGGAGGGCCAATGTTGGCATAAGTAAGGACGGCCAATGTTGGCATAAGTAAGGACGGCCAATGTTGGCATAAGTAAGGACGGCCAATGTTGGCATAAGTAAGGACGGCCAATGTTGGCATAAGTAAGGACGGCCAATGTTGGCATTAGTAAGGACGGCCAATGTTAGCTTTATTAAGGACGGCCAATGTTAGGGGGGGCCAATGTTTGCTTGGTGGCAGACGTTTTCTCAGAGGCTCTGCAGGATGGTCTCGTTTCTATAGCTTATAAAACTCCAAAATAGTTTTAGAAATTCTTTGATCAACATTCATTCATCCAGCTGCTCATAGCTGGAATATGGAACCAGTGAAGATCTACTGGTTGATGTCTCAACAGGGACCAAGATGCCGCCGTCCCTGCCGGCCTTCCTCGGGAGCATGCAGGGGGAGGAGGATGACGAGGAGGAGGAGGAGGAGGAGCTGCAAAACGCAGAAGTGGGAGGAGCTGCAGAAGAGATGGCGACCTGTTCCAGCCAGGACCAGGCCATGATGCAGGACTGTTACAGCAAGATAGTGGAGAAGCTCTCCCTTGCCAACCCGACCATGGTGCTGCAGGTAGAAGAGCAGCTTTCTAATCTTCATCCCTGCATGTTTATCCTCTATATTTCACATTTAGCTCTCATAATAAAACTGTTGTAAACTGAAAAATTTGTAAATACAGTTAAACATCTTTAGAATTGTTCATAATTTTCAACATTTTAGCAGCAAAACAAGGTTCCTGGAAAATATTGTTTTTCTTTCTCATCCCTGTTATGTGGCCATAATGTTGAATTATTATAAAATAAAACAAATGATTAAACATCAGTTTTGATGCATGAGATCGGTAGAATGTTGGAACATTTGGGCTGAGATCATCATTTAAAGCCAACAGCAGGCCAACAGCCTGGAAATGCTTGGACTTTCCTCCTGTCATTCCGCAGGTCTGGAAGCAGAAAGCCGGGTTTCCTCTTTTACCTCTAGATGATGGAGCTCAACGTTCCGACACCTGATTTTAGCGACACAGAGACCGAATAATCTGCTACGTTCATTTTAACACGAGTCAGTCAGAAATACGGACTCATTGGTATTAAATCGATACGATACCTATGATTCATAGCACTGATGCCATTTGCACGTTTGTTTCTGTAGATTGCTGCATTACTTGCACAAAAAGATGAATAATATTGTCAGATTGTTTATATTTGACTTACTTATTTTGATCCTCTTAAACTTCATGTTTCATGCTGAGATAGAAAGAGGCTTTTAATGTTAAGAAGCCCTTTTTTATTCCCAAAATTAAATCCAATCTGTTCCTGGGTTTTTAAAATGCTAGCATAATGATGCAGCGTTATTCAGAGCTGCCTCACTGAAGGTCCAGATGTTCCCTCTGCTCTGGGCCCTGAAGGTCCGGATGTTCCCTCTGCTCTGGGCACTGAAGGTCCGGATGTTCCCTCTGCTCTGGGCACTGAAAGTCCGGATGTTCCCTCTGCTCTGGGCACTGAAGGTCCGGATGTTCCCTCTGCTCTGGGCCCTGAAGGTCCGGATGTTCCCTCTGCTCTGGGCCCTGAAGGTCCGGATGTTCCCTCTGCTCTGGGCCCTGAATGTCCGGATGTTCTCTCTGCTCTGGGCACTGAAGGTCCAGATGTTCCCTCTGCTCTGGGCCCTGAATGTCCGGATGTTCTCTCTGCTCTGGGCCCTGAATGTCCGGATGTTCTCTCTGCTCTGGGCACTGAAGGTCCAGATGTTCCCTCTGCTCTGGGCCCTGAATGTCCGGATGTTCTCTCTGCTCTGGGCACTGAAGGTCCAGATGTTCCCTCTGCTCTGGGCCCTGAAGGTCCGGATGTTCCCTCTGCTCTGGGCACTGAAGGTCCGGATGTTCCCTCTGCTCTGGGCACTGAAAGTCCGGATGTTCCCTCTGCTCTGGGCACTGAAGGTCCGGATGTTCCCTCTGCTCTGGGCCCTGAAGGTCCGGATGTTCCCTCTGCTCTGGGCCCTGAAGGTCCGGATGTTCCCTCTGCTCTGGGCCCTGAATGTCCGGATGTTCTCTCTGCTCTGGGCACTGAAGGTCCAGATGTTCCCTCTGCTCTGGGCCCTGAATATCCGGATATTTTTCCATCTGCTCTGGGCCCTGAAGGTCCGGATGTTCCTTCTGCTCTGGGCACTGAAGGTCCGGATGTTCCCTCTGCTCTGGGCACTGAAGGTCCGGATGATCCCTCTGCTCTGGGCCCTGAAGGTCCGGATGTTCCCTCTGCTCTGGGCCCTGAAGGTCCCGATGATCCCTCTGCTCTGGGCCCGGATGTCCCCTCTGCTGGTCCAGATGTTCCCTCTGCTCTGGGCACTGAATGTTCTGCTGCTGTGTTGGTAGGTTCAGCAGCTGGTGGGCGAGCTGCGCCGCGTGACTCTGCTGTGGGATGAGCTGTGGCTCGGCGTGCTGCAGCAGCAGCACATGCTGGTCCTGAGGAGGATCCAGCAGCTGGAGGACGAGGTCAAGAGGGTGCAGAACAACAACACGCTTCGCAGGTGAGGATGCTGGCAGGTTACCATTACAATCTAGGCCCGGTTTAGGCCCCTGCCAAAAGGGAAATTAGTTCCTGTGGTAGAGTGTCTCCTAAAAGCGTCGACAGTTCTGCAACCCCGCGTTTATGGTCTCCTCTGCTTCTTCTCCAGGGACGAGAAGGTCGCCATCATGCGTGAAAAGCACTCTGCCCTGATGCGGCCTGTGGTCTTTGCTCTGGACCACGTCTGCAGCATCACCACGGCTCCGGCAGAGACGCCACACGAGACCTGGTTCCAACAGACCTACGGCGACGCCATCAAGTCGGCTCTGGAGCGCCTGAAGAACCCGGCCAATCCTGCCAACCCCGCCAGCAGCTGGCTGCCTTTCAAGCAGGTGCTGCTCACCTCTGACCTCTTTAGTTAACTTTGTTAACTCTGGTAAAACTAGTTAGTAGAGCTGTCCCAGTAACCGCTCCCCCAACCTTTCAGATCATGATGAGTCTGCAGCAACGCGCTCAGAAGCGAGCCAGCTACCTGCTACATCTGGATGAAATCAGTCCTCGACTGGTCTCCATGACGACCACGGAGATGGCCCTGCCCGGTGAGGCATCTGCCTCGGACGCCGTCACCATCCAGAGTGTTGGAAACACCGTCACCATCCTGCCCACCAAGACCAAACCCAAGAAGCTCTACTTCCTGGGCTCAGACGGCCACAGCTACCCGTACCTCTTCAAAGGTAGGACACTGGGTCCCCTCAAGGACATCAGGTCCCTAAAAACACCATGTCCTGTAAAAGCACACTGGGTCCCCTAAAAGCACACTGGGTCCCCTAAAGGACACCAGATCCCCACAAAGCAACATGTCCCCCAAAGGACACCATGTCCCCTAAAAACACACTGGGTCCCCTATAAGCACCGGGTCCCCTAAAGGACACTATGTCCCCTAAAGGACGCCGGGTCCCCTAAAGGACACTATATCCCCTAAAGGACGCCGGGTCCCCTAAAGGACACTATGTCCCCTAAAGGACGCCGGGTCCCCTAAAAGCACCCAGTCCCCTAAAGAACACCATGGTCCCCTAAAGTACGCCGGGTCCCCTAAAAGTACTCGGTCCCCTAAAGGACACCATGTCCCCTAAAAGCCCCCGGGTCCCCTAAAGGACGCAGAGTCCTCTAAAAACACCAGTCCCCTAAAGGACGCCGGGTCCCCTAAAAGCACCAGGTCCCCTAAAGGACACTATGTCCCCTAAAGGACGCCGGGTCCCCTAAAGGACGCCGAGTCCCCTAAAAACACCAGTCCCCTAAAGGACGCCGGGTCCCCTAAAAGCACCAGGTCCCCTAAAGGACAGCGGGTCCCCTAAAAGCACCCGGTCCCCTAAAGGACACTATGTCCCCTAAAGGACGCCGGGTCCCCTAAAGGATGCCGGGTCCCCTAAAAGAACCCAGTCCCCTAAAGGACACCATGGTCCCCTAAAGTACGCCGGGTCCCCTAAAAGTACTCGGTCCCCTAAAGGACACCATGTCCCCTAAAAGCCCCCGGGTCCCCTAAAGGACGCAGAGTCCTCTAAAAACACCAGTCCCCTAAAGGACGCCGGGTCCCCTAAAAGCACCAGGTCCCCTAAAGGACACTATGTCCCCTAAAAGCCGCCAGGTCCCCTAAAAGCACCAGGTCCCCTAAAGGACACTATGTCCCCTAAAAGCCGCCGGGTCCCCTAAAGGACGCCGGGCCCCCTAAAGGACGCCGAGTCCCCTAAAAACACCAGTCCCCTAAAGGACGCCGGGTCCCCCAAAGGATACCGGGTCCTCTAAAAGCACTCGGTCCCCCAAATGACACTATGTCCCCTAAAGGACGCCGAGTCCTCTAAAAGCACCAGTCCCCTAAAGGACGCCGGGTCCCCTAAAAGCACCAGGTCCCCTAAAGGACGCCGAGTCCTCTAAAAACACCAGTCCCCTAAAGGACGCCGGGTCCCCTAAAAGCACCAGGTCCCCTAAAGGACAGCGGGTCCCCTAAAAGCACCCGGTCCCCTAAAGGACACTATGTCCCCTAAAAGCCGCCGGGTCCCCTAAAGGACGCCGAGTCCCCTAAAAACACCAGTCCCCTAAAGGACGCCGGGTCCCCTAAAGGATACCGGGTCCTCTAAAAGCACTCGGTCCCCCAAATGACACTATGTCCCCTAAAGGACGCTGGGTCCCATAAAAGCACCGGGTCCCCTAAAGGACAGCGGGTCCCCTAAAAACACAGCGGGTCCCCTAAAAGCACCAGGTCCCTAAAGGATGCCGGGTCCCCTAAAGTGGAGCGTCAGCGGGCTGGACGCTGCAGGCACTCAGAGCATTATACCTTGGAAAGGGTCTGGCTCCACCAGGTTTACATGGAAGCCAGGAGGATGCTCTGATCTCCACATTGGCATGTTTAATTAACTTTATTGAAATTAATCTGCATTGCATTGTGGGGGATGTAGGAAAGGAGTTAGCCTGTTAGCAGCCAAGCTAAGCAGTTTTGAAGTTTCCAGTTAAATGGGTTAAATTGAGGAAAAGTGGATCAGTAGTTCCTGGTTTCCACTGAGATAGATTTTCATTCAGCTCTTCTGAACTGGTTTCAGGTCTGGAGGATCTGCATCTGGATGAGCGCATCATGCAGTTCCTGTCCATCGTCAACACCATGTTCACCAAGATCAACCAGCAGGAGCAGCCGCGTTTCCACGCTCGCCACTACTCCGTCACCCCCCTGGGAACCCGATCCGGACTGATCCAGTGGGTGGACGGCGCCACTCCGCTCTTTGGACTTTACAAGCGCTGGCAGCAGAGGGAGGCGGTGCTGCAGGCTCAGAAGGTGAGCGGCGCCATCCAGAACCTGGCTCAAGTCCAAAGACCGTCAGCCTGGGCTGGAACTTCATCTACCACCTGCTGTCAAGAGACAGAGCTCTGCTAATGTTTGTGCTTCCTCTGACGTTCCTCCGTCCAGGCCCAGGACTCGTTCCCGCAGCCGCAGCCTGTCCCCCCGGTGCCGCGGCCCAGCGAGCTCTACTACAGCCGCATCGGGCCGGCTCTGAAGGCCGTGGGCCTGAGTCTGGAGGTCAGCCGTCGGGACTGGCCCCTCAGTGTGATGAAGGAGGTGCTGAAGGAGCTGATGGAAGCCACGCCCTCCAACCTGCTGGCTAAGGAGCTCTGGTGTTCCTGCACCACACCCAGCGAGTGGTGGCGAGTCACCCAGGTGCATGATGGGAGCTACCAACACAAACCAGATGTTTTAGTTTTAGGATTTGATATTAATGCAGATTAACGGACTGTTCTGGTGCAGATTCTCAGTCATCCAGGTCAGAGTCATTCCAAAAAAGTCATAAAACAATCCACTGGACTTTGTTTCCATGTTTGAAGACATTTCGCCAGTGGCAGCCGGCCAATAGAGGGCGCTAGGGCGCCGTCCCCACACCCAATGACCCTGAATAAGACATTAAGCATTTTATTATTTTTTTATAATATAAATTTTAAATAAAAATTTTAAATATTGCGAAATATATCTATATATTTTTTTAGATGTGCAAAATAAATATTTTATCTTTAATGATGAGTAAAGGGTCGTTCAATTTATCGTCAGATTGGTGACATATTTCCGCCCTAGGGTGCAAAAACCTTTGCCCATTGACTCGTTAAAAGTCGGACATGCGCGGTATTTGCTCTGTAATACAGAGCTGACAGGAAGTGTATTTACTCACCACCTCTCACCATAGCGCAGATGTTTTGCGGGGCTTGGAGACGCATCGGAGAGAAAGAGAGAGAAAAATGGTGCAAGAAACGTCATTTTCCAGGACCAGGTTTAGCTCCAAGGCTAGGCTAGCTGCCTGCAGCGAGGCTAGCTGCCTGCAGCGAGGCTAGCTGCCTGCAGCGAGGCTAGCTGCCTGCAGCGAGGCTAACTGCCTGCAGCGAGGCTAACTGCCTGCAGCAAGGCTAACTTCCTGCAGCGAGGCTAACTGCGTGCAGCGAGGCTAACTGCGTGCAGCGAGGCTAACTGCGTGCAGCGAGGCTAGCTGCGTGCAGCGAGGCTAACTGCCTGCAGCTAGGCTAACTGCCTGCAGCGAGGCTAACTGCCTGCAGCGAGGCTAAGGCTTTATCCTGCCTCCCTGCCTCCTTTTCCAAATGTCAGGATCTGATCCAGCCTGGATAAAGACAGCTAGGACTGATTTAAAGCGCTTTGTAGAAAAGGCAAAGAAGAATGAACAATCTGGGATTCACATTGAAAATAATAGAATATAGTCTACTTTTTCTAGGTGTTTGATCATTTGTATAGTTGTTCTTAAATAAACACATTCTCTGAAAAAAAATAGTTTTTATATATACAAAAATATTAAGCTGACTAATAGCTTCTCCATTATTAAACTGGTTCATTATTTTTTAGGTTTGTGACTCAATATTTGACCATGAAGAACATAGATTTACCTTCAGTAAACCTCAGAAGGGCAAGATTTATGGACAAACAATAAACCTGGACATGAAATGAAGTTTTGTTTTTATAATGATTTTTGTTGTTGGCATTCATATAAATATACTAGTGTGATAACTTAGTATATGTTTGATTGGTTTTTCTATCGCTGCATTGTAGGTTTTTGAGGGGGCTCTTCTGTGTTGGGCCACTCGTCTGTGAAGAGATAGTTTGGTTTCCTCAATATAAAGATCAGAGCATTCCTCACTGCGGCTAACAAAGACGCAATAACTATAACTATTTCTATTTTCTTTTTTTCTAAACTAAAACCAGGCTTTGTTGGGCTGCTGGATAAAACCTGGAGCTCAACGCTATTTCTGACATTTTGAATTGAAAAAGCCTCCTGGATGGAAGAGAAACGTCTTCAAACTTGGAAACAAAGTCCAGTGGATTGATTTTAACTTTTTTGGAATTAATGGACTATAAAACAGTAAAACTACTTGATCTAAAATGATAAACCTCACCAGGAGGTGAATCTGGGTGGAGGAGCTTCATCAGATCATTACTTTATATCCTAACAGTTAATAAAGCAATTTCTGCAGACGGACGAGGAGAAAGTTTTAGTTTCAGACATAATGAGAAAATCACAGCTTTTTTCTCATCCACCGTCTGATTGGATAAAATAATAACCAGCAGATTGATTGAAACAAAGATGATGAACGTCCGCTGATGTGATGCTACTGATCAGGTCAGCCGCAACGTTTTTCAGATCATTGATTCGTTTTTTCAGATATTTTGTCTGGTAGCTGTTAGCAGCAGAGATGTTTTCTCGGTTAGCGCTGCTGCTAACGCAGGAGATTCAGCAGCTCTGGAATAAAAAGCATTTAAACTGATGATGATGATGGTGTGTCCTGCAGTCGTATGCCAGATCTACGGCCGTCATGTCCATGGTGGGCTACATCATCGGCCTGGGCGACCGTCACCTGGACAACGTGCTGATCGACATGACCACCGGGGAGGTGGTCCACATCGACTACAACGTGTGCTTCGAAAAAGGTCAGTTTGACTCGGAGGATGATGATGATGATGATGGTCTGAGGGGAAGCGTGGCCTGGTGGATCTGAATCACTGCTGCCATTTCTAGGGAAGAGCCTGCGGGTGCCGGAGAAGGTTCCCTTCAGGATGACCCACAACATAGAGAGCGCCCTGGGAGCCACGGGGGTGGAGGGGATCTTCAGGCTGTCCTGTGAACAGGTTCCTGCTCCGTCACGTCTCGCCTTCCTGCCCCTTCCCGCCGCCTGCGGCGCCTCTGAGCTCAGCTCTGTGTTTGCAGGTGGTCCAGATCATGCGTCGGGGCAGAGAGACCCTCCTCACCCTGTTGGAGGCCTTCGTCTATGATCCTCTGGTGGACTGGACCGCCGGCGGGGAGGTGGGCTTCGCCGGCGCCGTGTATGGAGGCGGCGGCCAGCAGGCCGACAACAAGAAGAGCAAGAGGGAGATGGAGAGGGACATCACTCGCTCGCTGTTTTCCTCCAGGGTCGCTGAGATCAAGGTGAGCCGACCCAAACGGGCCGTACCTGCCCACAGAGAAGATTCTGACTGGGACCAGCAATACAGCACGTTCTGTCTGTTCTGCTTCCAGGTGAACTGGTTCAAGAACCGAGACGAGATGCTGGCGGTCCTTCCGCAGGTGGAGGAGGCCGTGGACGAGTACCTGCTCCTCCAGGACCTGCTGTGCCAGGGAGAGAAGCTCCAGGCCAAGCTGCAGGAGGAGATGGACTTCCTGGAGGGAGCAGAGAACCGTCCAGACCACATGATCCTGACCCTGGAGCAAAGGTCTCAGAACCGCCCGGATCGGCGTCCTTCTTCACCTTTTGCCGTAGTTAGAAACCCAAACTTTTTAGTATCCAGCCGATTGATTTCCCCGTCTTCACGTGTTCCGTGCAGCTAGAACAGATGCTTTCCCTGCAGCAGGGCTCCGTCCGGGTCTTTAGGACCAGAACGGGTCCATATCCAGTCCACTGGGTCGTTGTGTTTAGCAGGCAGCATGCAGGCCTCCTGGTTCCTGCTGAAGTTCTCGGATAAGAACATCAACAGGAGGTCTGCAGTGGTGCTGAATATGACTTAACAGTTCATGTTTTACACATTTTGACAGGTCCTAAATATGTAGACATTCTGGTTACCATGCCAACATGCACACCAAAGGAACAGTAGGTTGAAGTGGCATCAGCTGTTTCTAGTAGATCCAGGAAACTAGAATAGAAACTAGTAGATCCAGGATAGTTAAATTTCTCAGGTTCAAACAAAGAAAAAGCAAAAAGAGGAAGATTAGTCTGACTTTAAAGGAAGCTCAGAAGCCGTGATTCTACACAGGGTTGCTATGGTTACTGAACGAGGCCGCCACCTGCTGGCCAGGAGTTCAACTTGTAGATGTGACCTTTAACCTGCCCTGTGTGTTTCTTGGGCCATCGCTGATTAACCATGACGACTTTAGGAGAATCAGGGAGGAATCTGTAGTCGTGGCTCTAAGTCTGCCTCACTGAGAGATGGCTGTTAGCGCGTTAGCATCTGCAGACCTGAGATAACCCGTGCTAAATATCTCACTCTGTGGATCTCCTCAGTCTACTGATCAGCCAATAGGAACGCAGCGGTCATCTCATGGACTGTTTTTAATGTTTGTCCTTCTAGAGTTGCAGCAAATATCGCTCTATAATTTCTATTCAGTTTATTTCTATAGATCCAATCCACATCATGTCATCTCAGGTCACTTTCCAGTTCACCAGATCATCCAGTCAGATTGATTCAAAGTTTTCTATCTAAGGAAAACCAGCTGATTGCATCGACTCATTGACTCTTCAGCAATCCCTCACACTAAGCATGCTTGTAGCCACAGTGGAGAGGAAAAACTCCCTTTGAACAGGAAGAAACCTCCAGCAGAACCAGGCTCAGTGTGAGCGGCCATCTGCTGAGGCCCACTGGGGTTCAAGGAGACAGAAGCAGACATAGAAAAAGAAGCATAGATACAAAAGGCAACTGTCAACCAGCTCCACAGGCGGCCCCGTCCAGGAAACACACAGCCAGGCAGACGAGCTCCGAGCCAGCTCCCATGTCAGAGGATGAAGAGAGCACATCCAGTTAGTCACAGTCAGAGAAACAGGAGTACACTGGAAAACAGGCCAAGCTCCAGCATCTAGAAACAAAGGTGTTGATGGCAGCAGCACAGCTGATATTTCTCTCCAGGATGGAGTCACAGCCAAACAGGAACAGACCAGATGAAGCTATGAGAAAAAGCAGAGAGAGCAGAACGTTAGAGATTGAACTAACAGATTCTGCAGAGTGGGAGAATAGAGATAGAATGAAGCAGAATGATGAAAAAGGGGTCCCTATGTCCTCCAGCAGTCTAAGCCTATAGCAGCAGAACTATAGAGATAGCTCAGGATAACCTGAGCCACTCTAACTAGAAGCTTTATCAAAAAGGAAAGTTAGCTATAGGTGCTAACAGGCTTCAGATCAAATCTGCTAGAACAGAAAGGGTTCTGCTTAAAAGTGGACCAACTAGATGCTCTAGATCTTAACGACTAGAAGTCTGAGCCACTGCCTGCTGGTCTGATCATTTCCTGGATCTGCTCTAGTCTCTCTGCTGGGAAGAATCTAGGTTTTTCTTCTGCATGTTTCTCTCATTGCTGCTGCTTCAGGACATCAGGTTGGATCTCCAACCGTTATTCTGTTCCTCACCTTCTAGTCCATCCCCGCTTTAAACCGTCCATCTTGTAGATGGACTCCTTCGGTGCTTAGACCGATCCAGTTTAGCTGCAGCTGTAACGTCTGTGTCCGCTGCAGGTACTCTGAACACACTCAGCTGCAGTCACAGCAGAGGACCGTGCAGGAGGCCATCCAGGCCAAGCTGGCTGACCTGGAGCAGTGGATCTCCCAGTACCACGCAGCCTTTTCCAGCCTGGAGGCCACACAGCTGGCCAGCCTGCTGCAGGACATCAGCAGCCCCATAGACCTGGGTAAGCGCTGCCGTAGTTTCTCAGTTTTTCCCTTTCATCGGTCGCACATCTTGCTTTGACTCTAGTTTTCCCTAAATCCCTGATGCAGGTCCTCCCAGCTATGTTCCAGCTACTGCCTTCCTGCAGAACGCAGGCCAGGCCCACCTCATCAGCCAGTGCGAGAGCCTGGAGGCGGAGCTGAGCTCCCTGCTGCAGCAGCGCCGCGCCGCCCTGAGGAGCTGCCTGGAACAGCTGCACAGCTACGCCACCGTGGCTCTGCTGTACCCACGCACCACGCTGCTGTTCCACAGAGTCCACCAGTGGAAGGCCTGGTTGGAGGAGCTCCTGAGAGACATGACCGCCGAGCGCTGCCAGCACATCTACAGGCAGTAAGTAGCGGCCGGATGCCGATAATCAAACCTGAAGACGTCTCCTGTCCTCCTGAGATGTTCCTCTGTCTCCGTCCTCAGGTACGAAGTGCTGTTTGCCCCTCAGCCTCCTGCAGCGTCCTGCCAGTTCCTGTCCAGCATGGAGTTAGCGCTGCAGCGCCAAGTGGCAGAGGCCAACGAGCGCACGCTGCTCCAGGCGGAGCGGCTGAAGGCTGAGGGCGCCACGGTTGCAGCCTGCGAGGACCAGCTGCAGGAGATAGAAAACTGCATCGCAGTCTTCCTGCGGGAGAACGCAGAGCCGGGATCGCTGAGCCTGGCGGCCGTCATCACCTCCGCCCTGTGCACTCTCTGCAGGTCTGGTTCTACCCATGTTTTAAACGCTGTTAGAGGAAGGAATGAGCTCTGAGCTGATGCTTCTGATCCTCTCCGGGCGGCAGGCGTAACCTGGTGATGGAGGGTGCCGCAGCCAGCGCCGGGGATCAGCTGGTGGACCTGACGTCTCGGGACGGGGCTTGGTTCTTGGAGGAGTTATGCAGCATGCTGGGGAACGTCTGCGGCCTGATGACGCTCCTGCAGCGCTGCCCGCTGCTGCCTCACGACCTGGAGCTGCCGGCGCCGGCTCTCACCACCCAGGCCGTGTACCTGGCCAACGCCGTCTACACCTGCCTGCAGGTACGCCCTCCCTCAGCCGCCGCAGCAGGAATGACTGCGGTGGGAGATGTTCTGATGGTTGTTATGGTCCAACGCAGGAGCTGAACACCAACTTCAGGCAGATCATTTTCCCCGAGGCTCTGCGGTGCATGATGAAAGGAGAGCCCACCCTGGAGACCATGCTGGTGGAGCTGGAGCAGCTGGTGGAGCAGAGCTCGGACGGGCTCAGCCTGCAGGGCCTGGCCGACAGCCTGCAGGCCACCACCGGCTTGGACCACGAAGGCCACAGCCACCTGCTACACATCACCAGGTCCTCCTCCTCTTCATCGCTTCTCTCCGACGGCCGCTCAGAGTGAACAGAGAGAGTAAACTGTGTGAAACTGGTTCTGTTCAGGATGCTGCGGGCCCAGTACTCGGAGCTGATCCAGCCTCACAGCATGGACGGCCAGGAGACGCCCAAGATGTCCGCCGGTCAGATGCTGCTGGTTGCCTTCGATGGCATGTTCACCCAGCTGGAGGCTGCCTTCGGACAGCTAACCGAGAAGGTAGCTAACCTGAGGGTCACGATGGGTTACCTGCGTATCTGATGGATGATCTCTGACCCTCAGATCCACCTGCAGCTTCAGAAGTTCCCAATTCCTACTTTTAACGCCGTTAAATCTTAAAGGAAAAGTCCGGTCAGCAAGAAATAATGGATCGTTATTTATATTAAATGAATTTAGCGTTAATCAGTAAAAAAGTCTATTTTCATTGCGATCACTGAGTCTGGGAGCGGCCATTTTTGCCCAAATATAGTGACCCCTCCCTCCTGCCATCTTCCAGCAGTGACGTCAAGGTGCGGTAAGCCTAGCGCCATTCTCCCCGCTTTCCAAGCTAAATCAATGGGAACTACTAGACACATCTGTATGGGAGAATTATCCTGCCATAATGCCAGAGCGCATATGTTCAATTTGAGAAATTGCCTCCATCTCTTCACGCACAAACCGCGCTCTGCTCGAATCTCAGATATGCTCGCAAACCCATAGGCTCTGCTTGTGGATTTTTTTTGCTCTCTCTCGGATTGCAGCTGGATCGTCGCCTAGCAACCTTTCCAGCCAATAGAACAACAGCCTGGGAAAGGGTGCGCTTGTTTAACCCTACTGAGTGTGCCTGTGCTACTACGCCACTTATAAGAGCGTCAGCTGAAACTGCTATTTACAGTAGTTTAGTGGCTCGATTCAGCAAAGTTCAGTACTTATGGATAACCCGAACAATTCTGAATTAAGTAATTTTAAACAATTAGTGGTTTGTTATGTACAAAAGCAAAGAACCGACATATTAAATAATTATCTTGAAATACTTTGTTAGTATTGATTTCAAAATGTAGGGAAAAAAATAAATTTTTTACAAAAAGTTAAAATGTTGGATAGTTATTTCCAATTATTATTATGGTGTTATGTGTCAAGTCAGCTTTCTTATTTTTGTTGGATTTTGGCTCCCCCTAGTGGAGAAAAGCTGTATTGTTTTGCCAGAAGGAAGACAGCATTTCCCGTATAGTGGTAACATCCTGATCTCTGGTCGCCTGCAGTTGGATTGAACTACGTTTCTTTTTCCAGCTCCACGTTCGACTTTGGTTTCGTAGCGTATTCCTGCAAGAGTCCCCAAACATCTCCTTGCAACAGATAAATATGATAATAATCTCACATTAATGCATATAGATCCCAGCAGGAAGGAGCCACATATGTAGGAACAAATATCAGGGAAATTTAGGAATATCAGGCAATGACAGAGGTGTAGGTCAACGTAGAATCACAGAAGCTATTAAAATGTTTTATGAAGGTTAAAAGGTTACCTGGTGTTGTCTTAAAGAGGAACTGAGTGGTGATGAAGATGATGATGATGATGATGTGGTTATCTCCAGCCGCTCAGTATCTCAGACCTGAACACCTGGGTCTGGTTATTTCTGATGACGTTGTCCTCCTCTCCCTCCCTCAGCTGAGCTCTCTGGAGGTGCCGCCGTCCTGGAGGAAGGTGGATGTTCTGAGGGAGGCCAGGGCAGCACAGCTCCACTTCTTTGACAGCCCGACTCAGCGGCAGCTCATGGATGAGGTGTTTTTCCTGAAGAGGCTGCAGACCATCAGAGACTTCTTCCTCCTCTGCTCATCGTTTGCTCAAACTCTGTCCGGTGAGCGTTGCTCTTGGCGTCAGCATGGCGCCCTGCAGAAACCTTCTAAAAAACTGCAGGGTTTGGTTTCAGATCCTGGTTGTTTTATGGACTCGAGGTTTCCTTCATCAGGTACCTGCCCTCCAGCTGAAGACCTGATCTCTACCAATGGACCCGTAGGTTTGGGGAAGCCTCTGTACCGGCGGCCCAGCAGCACGGGGTCAGGCGTGGTCAGCGAGGAGCAGATGACTCGGCCTATCAAGGCCTTCACGGCGGAGTTTGTCCGCCAGATGCTGATGGGTCTGCCCAGCCAGGCCATCGGTCTGGCCCTCTGCAGCACCCTGTCAGCTCTGGCTCTGGATGTCGTAGCTCAGGTGGAGGCCAAGGACTTTGGGGCAGAAATCAAGGTAGAGTGGCCATTTCTGAGTCTCAGCAGGAGATGGATTAGGACCTTCTCATTCTGTTGGGTCTCTGATTTCATTAAGATTTTAGATCCCAGGACCCCCCCACCAAAAAAAACGCATAAAAACAAGATGACTGAAAAATATTAAATAGCTCTACTGTGAACACGAAGGGTGACGGAGTAGCAGCTGGGAAACCAGATCTATATGCCCCATTTACACTAGTCCTCTGAAACCGATCCATGCAGAGTTCCCACCCAGTTTGGGTCAGTTAACCGTGCCCAGCTCGGTTCTTAAGACTATTTACACATCACGCTAGCACAGTTCCTCGCCTCCTGTCGGCGGTCCACCATAATACAGCTCTCTAGGTGGGAATTATGCAAGACGGGAACGCCGTCCGTAGGGGAACGCCGTCCGTAGAGAAATTTAACAGAAAGAATCCTCCAGCAGAACTGTAGAGGAAACGCCGTGCGTAGAGGAACGCCGTCCGTAGAGGAACGCCGTGCGTAGAGGAACGCCGTCCGTAGAGGAACGCCGTCCGTAGAGGAACGCCGTCCATAGGGGAACGCCGTCCGTAGGGGAACGCCGTCCATAGGGGAAAGCCGTCCATAGGGGAACGCCGTCCATAGGGGAACGCGGTCTGTAGGGGAACGCCGTCCATAGGGGAACGCGGTCCGTAGGGGAACGCCGTCCATAGGGGAAAGCCGTCCATAGGGGAACGCCGTCCATAGGGGAACGCGGTCTGTAGGGGAACGCCGTCCGTAGAGCGACGCCTAGGGTTGGGAATTGAAAAGATTTTCACGATTCCGATTCCCTTTTCGATTCTATGAAATGATTCGATTCTTTATCGATTCTTTTTTCGATTCCAATTTGGGGGAAAAAGGAGAACAAACAGTTTGATTATCAGAATCAACTTTGTTTACTTAACTATTGCACAATCTTACAAACTCAACAAGATCAAGATGTCCACAGGAAATGTGAAACTGGAGTAACATCTGTGTTTAAATGAAAAATAAATATACAAGAACAAACTTAATAACCAACAATGTCTAATAACAAATGATGGGATAATAACCTATTTTAAATAACAAAAAATACTAATTATAAAACAGTAGTAGGGAAAATTAACAGTTCTTTTGCAGAAAGATGAGCATATCTGCTTTTTCTGGAAGGATACGGGATCTTTCAGGGCTTATGGTGTCTCCAGCCATGGAGAACACCCTCTCAGATGGGGTGGATGAAGCCTGCACACAGAGGTAGTTTTCAGCCAGTCAGATAGCAAGGGCAGCGTATCTTGCTTGTTCCACCACCACAGTGTGGCGCTATCCCTGCAGGGGATGGAGGGCAAGCTTTTATAGAGCTGGATTTCCTGATCTACCCTCTGGGCTAAGGAAAGACGGGGCTTTGATTCACAAAGTGACCGCAGCTCGTTGTCTTCCTCCTCGAATAGTTCTTCCAACTTGCGTAACTTGCGTAACTTGCGTAACTTACGTAACTTACGTAAAAAACGTGACGTAAGTCGTGCTCCCCAGAGCCGGCGCTCTAGGCTCTGGTGCTGCGGGAATCGAAAAAAGAATCGTTCAGTAAGCTGCCAAACGATGCCATGGAATCGGAAAATACGGAACCGGTTCTTAACAGGAACCGGTTTTCGATTCCCATCCCTAGCGACGCCGTCCGTAGAGGAACGCTGTCTGTAGGGAATATGGTCCGTAGGGAATGCGGTCCGTAGAGGAACGCCGTCCGTAGAGGAACGCCGTCCGTAGAGGAACGCCGTCCGTAGAGGAACGCTGTCTGTAGGGAATATGGTCCGTAGGGAATGCGGTCCGTAGAGGAACGCCGTCCGTAGAGGAACGCCGTCCGTAGAGGAACGCCGTCCGTAGAGGAACGCCGTCCGTAGAGGAACGCTGTCTGTAGGGAATATGGTCCGTAGGGAATGCGGTCCGTAGAGGAACGCCGTCCGTAGAGGAACGCCGTCCGTAGAGGAACGCCGTCCGTAGAGGAACGCCGTCCGTAGAGGAACGCCGTCTGTAGGGAATATGGTCCGTAGGGAATGCGGTCCGTAGAGGAACGCCGTCCGTAGAGGAACGCCGTCCGTAGAGGAACGCTGTCTGTAGGGAATATGGTCCGTAGGGAAATTGAACAGCTAGAATCCTCCAGCAGAACCAGTCGTGGTCTCAGTGACCCTTCAGCTGAGTTTGAGAGCAGGAACAGTAGAAATGCTTGGAAGCGCTGATCCAGGAGTTCTTTCTGTATGAAACTAAAGCCTGGATTTGGTGGCAGCAGCAGCTCCTGTAGCAGCTTCATCTAGACTCATAGTCATAGGGGATTCATTTAATTTTAAATAAATAAATATATCAGCTTTTTAAGAGAATGGATAACCGCACCCTGATGTCCCCCAGAAATGGTCAGAGCCGTTCCTGTCGGCACTGGCCAGTCATTGTTAGCGCACAGAGCGCTGCATGATGGGATCAACCATTGGATCTGGAGATGTTTCTTCTCATCCAGCTTTTTTGCTGTAACCCTGTAACCCCGTGGAAGGTGTGGTGGTCTGCGACCCAAACTTTTTCAGCCTCCTTTCTTCACCAAATAAAAATGCAACCAGGAAAGACATAACAGCTAATCACATTTATCCCACCCAGTTCTGTCCACTTAACCCAGATGCCCGTTGGTATGGGATCAGAGTTTTCACAGCGCCTCAGAGTTTAGAGGAAAATTGAAGGTCATTTTCTGGAGAAGTTTGACTTTACAAATTACTGGCATTAAAACAAAGAATCTGTTAATATTACAAGTCCCAGTTGGTCCCTTGGTAAACTAGTTCCATGTGAATAGGGTTTAGGAGTAAAATATGGCTAAACAGAAGCCTTTCGGGGGGGGTCTGGGCTAGTTAGTAGGGAGGGGAGGGCTCAGCATCAGAGGCCCTCAGTGGTTCGATGTTTCCTGGTTCTGCAGGTTTCTCTGGAGGAGCTTTGCAAGAAGGCGGTGGAGCAGACTCTGGCCTCCGGCCGAGTCTCCCAGCTGCTGCTGAACAGATGCACGGTCCTGGCCTCCTCCTATGACACGGCCTGGAAGAAGGTGGACCTGCTGAGGAGGCTGGAAATCAATCTGGATGCTGCCAAGGCCAGCCTGCAGAGGAGCCAGCTGCATAGCGCCATGTTCCAGGTACTGATAGGGTTGATGCCAGCGCCCTGTCCTCCTGCTGCCTGGCTAAACATTACTCTCTTTGTCGCCCTCTAGTGGCAGCATGAGGATGTTCTCGGGCCCAATAATCAGCCACTAGGTGTCAGCGTGGCGCCCCGCCCCGTGATCCTCAGCAACATGAAGAAGAAGCTCTACAAGCTGAGCCAGGATGAAGGCGCCATCGTAGCCATTCAGGTCAGTGTCTGCAGCCATCAACGACTCCCTGGGTGTCTCACAGTGATGACATCACATCTGATCCGTGTGTTTCGGCTGAATTGGACCAATGAGAGACAGCGAGTCCATGAACTGACCCCTTGGTCTGGGCCGGTTCTCCATTATTCTGCTACTTGATTGATCTGGTCTTTATTCTTTCCCCACTCTGAGGCCGTTTCTCAATTCACTAGAACGCGAGTGCGGACTCGTGTCCTCGCCAAGTATGTTCTATAGAGCAACCCTAAAAGTCTGGGAGAACGGGAATGAATGTGGTGATGTCATCAGTACGCACTGATGACATCACCACATTCAAAGCTCGTCGCATTTCACCTCCTATTAATAGTCTCTAGATAATAATAAATTATGACCTTTTTCATTTAGAGATAGATTTATTTAGTCATTTTTTTTATACAGAAGTGTACAAAATGACTAAATCTGTTTAAAACAGCTCTAGACAATTTCATTTTTTAAAGGGGGGCAGGTGGGCTCTCCTCATCCTCCGCAGGAAGTCCAAGCGCTTCTGGGCCCTTTGGACCAGTGAGGTGGTGTTTCCAGTCCAGGTGAGGGTGTCTGTGATGAATGACCACCTCTACAGCTGAGCTGTTGATGAGCAGTGGAGCGTGATCAGGCCGCTTCTTCCTGAAGTCCACCATGATCTCCTTGGTCTCCTCCACCTTCAGGATCAGGCTGTTATCTCTGCACCACCAGCTGCTCCACCTCCTCTCTGTAGTCCAGGTCGTTGTCGTCTCTGATGAGGCCCACCACCGTGGCGTCGTCTGCAAACTTCACCATGTGATTGGTGTAATGAACATAGTCAAATAAACACAAATTAAAATGTTGCCAAAAAAAACTAAAATAGCTCCATCAGAGCCAACGGTCCTTCACACACAGCTATGCAGGGAGAGGGCCGCTGCAGACGGGCTAACGTTAGCCCTGGCTGCATTTAGCCTCAGAGCGCCGCTGGTTGCCTTGGTTCTCTCAACATCAGAACTTTTTTTTCATTTAAGCATTAAATCAGTAAATGAGCCATATAGGGATATAGCTTAAAGGAATAGTACACCCAAAACATGATTAGCCTTCATTTTCTACTCACCCCCATGCTGAACAACACTCTGGAGTAGTTTTTTGATATCTCAAATGCATCTGGAGACCTGGGAGGCTTCTTGCTGTCTGCTGACATTCAAATAATTGAGGTCTATGGCGCCCGAGACAGAAAGGTCCATAAAAGTCCACAAAACGCTGAATGCGCACTTTCATCTAATTTGGTCTGCCGCGGTTTCCGTAGACTCGTGAACGCGCTTTCAGGAAATCCTATACACTACTGTTTATGCTCTAAAAACATTCTAAATGACTTCGTTTCGAGTAAATTATGGACGCTACCCACTCAGGACACTTGGAATACATTGGACGAGCAGTATGGAGGAATATTGACACGTTTTTTGTGGACTTTTATGGACCTTTCTGTCTCGGGCGCCATAGACCTCCATTATTTGAATGTCAGCAGACAGCAAGAAGCCTCCCAGATCTCCAGATGCATTTGAGATATCAAAAAAGTACTCCAGAGTGTTGTTCAGCATGGGGGTGAGTAGAAAATGAAGGCTAATCATGTTTTGGGTGTACTATTCCTTTAAAGTGTTATATTCTCGCCTCAAATTATCTTAAAACGTACTTTTCTTGAACCACAGCAACAGAAAAGAGAACTTTTAACTTAATACTTTTAAGTTAAAGCTGCTGCTGCCGCAGTGCATGCTGGGACAGCTGTCAGTCTGGAGGATTGACAGCTCTTCTCTGATGCATGCTGGGTAAAGAGGGAGGGGCCAGAACAACATCCGGGGACTTTGACGTTCTCGGTCTGCTGTTCTAGTGAATTGGAACAGTGCTAGGGCTGAGGATGATGACGTTTTCACGAGGACACAAGAACGCACAAGTACACCGATTGAGAAACGGCCTGAATAAATTAAACCTCAAAAAGTGCTTGAAGCAGCAGATTTTCAAATAGAAACTAAATATATAATAAATGCTGTTTGAACATGTTTTAGTACAAAACATAGAGAGGAAAACAAGAAGAGAGGGACACAACCTAGAACAGATAATGGATGTCTATTCTATTAACATTTCTCTATCTGGAGGATGGGGCTGTTCTGTGTTGTCTTCTCAGTTCAGAGGGGCCCCTGCCTGTCTTTGCCTTGGGCCCCACATTTCCTAAATCAGCCCCTGTCTGTATGTTTCTGAAGTTCTGTTATTTGGCTAAATTAAAGCTTCCCTGCATCCAGTATTTTCCATTTCTTTCTATATATTATGATCACACATTTAAAGGGTAATTCTAACTTAGTTCATTTTTGAAAAAGTGAGGCATTTCATTTTAATGATAAACTGCCACGTTATTGGAACAGATATAACCTGATCAAAGCTCCCACTGAACAACATGATTAACCAGCATTGATCTCTGGACTCGTTTCTCAGGAGAAACTGGCTTCTCTAGAGGGCAGCATTGAGCAGCGCCTGAAATGGGCCGGTGGAGCAAACCCAGCATTGGCTCCGGTTCTGCAGGACTTTGAATTGACCATCAGAGACAGACGAGCCATGGTGGCCAGAGACAACCAGCGTACCAGCCAGGTAAAACCCGCCGTGCAAAACCGGGACGCGTCGAAACACCGTTCTGTCAGATGAGCATACCCAGTCAGACCAGCATAACCATATTCAATACCCGTCTATCCCTTTAGTTTATCACTTTACATTTGTGAGAAATATAAACTTTAAACTACCTCAACAGACATTTATCTCTTCAGTCATGTAGAGAAAACTACTTAATAACTTACTTTTTGGTGTTTTTTGAAGCGTATGGCGATCTGACCTTGCATTGTTTTTTTTTGTTTTTTTTGTATGTGACTAAAGTGACGCACCCCAGTTGAGGTAGTTTAAAGTCTATTATTTGTACTAAACTAAAGAGATAAACGCAAATCTGACATCCAGGTAGACCGGGTCGATTTCAGAGGCTGCATCCTCCAAGGACCCGGTCCAGGTAGACCTGGTCCTTGGAGGACGCAGCCTCTGAAATCGAACACAGTGAAAATAAGGAGGCCAGAAGAGTTTGGCTGTGGGTTCAAACGGGTCCAGCATTCTCCAGCTTTCACTGCTGTTCACTCTGTCGCCTAGCAACCATGACAGTTGACAGACAAAGCAGGAAAAGAGTGGATGCCATTCTTCCGATCCGGACAGACCGCGGCGCTGCGCTACGACGTAATCGGTAGATGAATCTGGCGTTCAGAGGACGCAGCCCCTGAATTCGAACTTGGCGTAAGCAGGGTTTCCGCGGGTCATTAAAAATCATTAAAAATCATTAAAATATTCTTTTTTAAATAAGATCTGGCATTAACAGGATTCTTGCAGATCAAGAACCCTGTTAATGTCTTAAATCAGTCTTTCATAGGTCTTAAAATTGTTAAGACATAATAAATAGGATTTTGTTTTTGTAATCAATATCAAACAATAAAATAATTGACAATATTTTTCTTAGATTTACAGAACTGCTCGCTGTAACCATTATCGGTTCCGTCCTGATAGCGCTACCGTATAAAAACGATGTTGCAGTTGGACCTTGGGATGATGCGCCAGTAACTTTTTATCTGGAGAAGATGGGGAAGTTTTAAATAGGCTATCCAAGAGTTTTCTGCATGGCTAAAACCACTGCCAGGGAATGTAGATGAGGCACGACGGGAATCAAAGCAGTGGAGTCACATGTGCGAAGCGGGAAACTGAAGTTATGGAGAAGCAGCGGGTTTTTCTCCGTTCTGTTCCACGCTTGTCTCAGCAACGCCTCCACATTCATCTCTCACATCAACAGCAGTATCAGTAGAACCACATCTCCGGATAATGTTTGATGGTAGGCCGACTAAGAAAGCGAAGGGATTGAGTACGGAAAAAACAAGTTTGTTTATTCAGTTCAGAAGTTCTTAAACATATATCCGTTATTTGTGTTTCTTCCTATTTGGAAAGTTGTTCAAAATTGGAAACATATCAACTGGGACAGAAAATAAACATCTGGTGTAAATTTGTCACTTCCAGGTTTTTCTTGTGTTTATTGTCAAGTTGGTCTTAAATTTTTATTTTAAGAGGCATTAAAAAGTCTTTAACTTTCCTTATAACCCTGATTGAAATGTATTGAATGTCATCATGTCATTTAAAATGCTTTATTTAAAAAAAGAAATACAATTCTAAAAATGATTTTGCCAGATGTATTATCACAATATATTTGGGCAGAACTGCTTCTGGTTGATCGTAAAGCCGTGTGTTTGGAGAAAAAAAGCTCAAGGTGGAGAAAAAGTTAGAGAATCGGAAAATGCAAATTTCACCAAAAACGAGGAATTCCAGACATGGCTGCAGCCTGTCAACGGTAAAGATAACCAAGAATTTCACCGTTTTGTACATATATATAGATATACATTTATAGATGTATAGAAATATAAAGACACACACTTGGCATTAAAAAGCATTAAATTAGAGTTAATCATTCCTGTATAAACCCTGGTAAGACTGAACGGTTTTAGCAGTGGGTTTTAACTCCTCCCTGCCTGTAGGTGGCGCTCTCAGGCGCTCTCTCTCTCTACTATTTGCCAATAGGATGCCAGATGTGCTAATGCTAATCGAACAGTTGATCAGAAAACAGAAGAAAAGAGGCCTCCTCTGCCTCTGAGCTCCTGTGCTTCCTTCAATCGACTCCAACGTTCTAAAAATCCAGATTTTCTCTCATTATCCTTTTTTTATCTGAGAAACAAAAAGACGTCGTTTCTCAGCTTTGTCTCACAGAACCTCAACCTACTATGCAGAATCCTGTTAGCATGGTAGCACTAAGAAAATATTTCTATGTTTTGAACCCGTCAGCATTTATAGAATGTATTTATATTCTAAGGACTTTAATTCTTCATTATTAACCCGCTGTGGAAGAATTAGATTAGAAAGAATTAAACATGTAGAAAAGTTTACGCGGATGTTTCTATCAAGCATGGCTGATTAGCACCGCGGCTAATCACGAGGCTAACGATAAGCTGTCTGCGCGTCTGTATGATGGACGGAACCACGGCTCCGTTAGCGCTCCGCTAGCTTCCGTCCTCTGCTGCTTTTTAAAGAGCAGAAAACAGGTGAATCTAACCTGAACTTGTTTCTGAAGGTCACCTTCCTGTGCTCCACCATCCTGAACTTTGAGGGCCTGCGGACGCGTTCGCCTGAGGCGCTCAGCATGGACACGGCGCTGTTTGAGCTGCTGAAGCGCTGCCAGCAGACCTGCTCCTACGCCTCCCAGTTCAGCAGCACAGTTTCTCCTCTGGAGCTGCAGCTTCTCCACAGACTGGTGGGTTGTTCTCCTTCAGCAGGCCACGCCCCTTCCTCCTCCTCCGCCTGAGTCCACCGCCTGAAAACGGTCCCTTTCTGTTTGTCCTGCGTCTCCACAGGGTCCGACGGTGGACCTGCCCATCGGAACCCCCGATTGGCTGAGCTGTGCCCAGAGGCAGCTGGAGGAGGAGCTGAGTGTGGAGCGGAGGAAGCAGGAGGAGCGGGAGCAGCAGCTGGAGGCCTGCGGAGAGACGCTGCAGCTGCTGATCGACTCCATCAAGACCATCCTCTCCAACCACAACCGCCAGCTGGCCGACGTCAAGCACCTGCTGAAAGCCATGGCCAAGGTAGCGCGGCTGTGGACGCGACCTTTGAACTCACTCCTTCACTGGAGGGAGACAGAAAGCTGTAGAACTTCTTCAGGACCAACCTGTTTATAGCTTAAAGCTTAAATGGCTTTCCTGTTTTCCAGGATGAGGAAGCGGCGCTGGCAGACGGAGAGGAGGTGGCGTACGAAGGCAGCGTCCGCCACTACCTGCTGGAGTACAAAGCCTGGCAGGACAACGTCCAGCTGGTGTTGTTCACGGTGGTCCAGGCCAGTGGGCAGCACCGCAGCCAGGAGCAGCTGGACCTGCTGGAGGAGATCCCCGCTACCCTGAAGGAGCTGCACGCCCAGAGCCAGAGGTAGAACCCTGCGCCGCTCCTCAGCCGCCTGCTCCCAGGCCACCCGTCTCTGACCCACGTCTCTCTGTCCCTCGCAGCGTTTATAACGGCCTGGTGGGCTTCGCCTCCCCGCTGGTGACAGACCGAGAGGCCGAGTGCTCCAGCCCCGTGTCTTCAGCTCAGACCAGCTTCGCTGCAGGTATGAAGCAGCCACACAGCAGCTTTATGCAGGAGGAAGCTCACATCAACTGGACTCTGCTTCTTCTGATAGTGCAGACCCTCTGATTGGACGCATTAATCTCCAAGGAGATTCTATTCAGTCTATTTCTATATCTCCAATTCACATCATGTCATCTCAGGTCACTTTCCAGTTCACCAGATCATCCAGTCAGATTGATTCAAAGTTTTCTATCTAAGGAAAACCAGCTGATTGCATCGACTCATTGACTCTTCAGCAATCCCTCACACTAAGCATGCTTGTAGCGACAGTGGAGAGGAAAAACTCCCTTTGAACAGGAAGAAACCTCCAGCAGAACCAGGCTCAGTGTGAGCGGCCATCTGCTGAGGCCCACTGGGGTTCAAGGAGACAGAAGCAGACATAGAAAAAGAGAAACAGGACTAAACACTGGAAAACAGGCCAAGCTCCAACATCTAGAAACAAAGGTGTTGATGGCAGCAGCACAGCTGATATTTCTCTCCAGGATGGAGTCACAGCCAAACAGGAACAGACCAGATGAAGCTACTATGAGAAAAAGCAGAGAGAGCAGAACGTTAGAGATTGAACTAACAGATTCTGCAGAGTGGGAGAATAGAGATAGAATGAAGCAGAATGATGAAAAAGGGGTCCCTATGTCCTCCAGCAGTCTAAGCCTATAGCAGCAGAACTATAGAGATAGATCAGGATAACCTGAGCCACTCTAACTAGAAGCTTTATCAGAAAGGAGATGATTGGTCTGACCAGTTGCAGCTCCTGTTATGCTTTGCTTTGAGTTCCGATTTTCTTCCTTTGTTCTGAGGAGCTCAGGTTTAGGTCGGGTTTAATTCCTAAAGCTCTGTGTTTGGTTTCAGCCGTCCGATGCAGTGCAGCCAAGACGCAGCAGGACTCGATGTCCCAGAATGCACGCAGAGTGCTGCCTCGTAACCTGGGAACCCCCACGGACACCCCGCCCAGCAACCTGCTGATGAGCAGCAAAGGCCTCAACCCGAGTCCAAAGAGGGCCGTACGGGACCCCAAAACAGGCCGAGGTACCAACCGCTGCTCTGCTGGCCGTAGCTCCGCCTCCTCTGAGAGGTTCTGAAACGCCTCCTGTCTGTGTTGCAGCTGTGCAGGAGAGGAACTCGTATGCGGTGAGCGTGTGGAAGAGAGTGAAAGCCAAGCTGGAGGGCAGAGACATCGATCCCAGCAGGAGGATGAGCGTCACTGAGCAGGTGGGATCTACCCGTTAAACCAGGTTTAACTCCTGGTTTTAGACTAAAGTCCTGAACACACCCAATACGACTGAGATAGAGCCCAGGTCTATTTTAGTCGGACTACGCAGCAATTCAGCAGCAATTTCATTGGTCTGACAGGAAGAGAGACGCGGTTACAGAGTAAAACACATCCGCTTTGGAGGAAAATAAAAAATAAAATCCATTATCTCACTGAGAAAGAGTCAGTTTGGGTCACGCATCGTGTTTATAGTTAGCAGGACAGACTGGAGCAAAAACATTCAAATAGAAATTTTCCCCATGACGGGAGTTCAGGAGGACAGAAACGGATAAAGTAGAGATCCTCCAGAATAAGGAGGAGCAGACAGAGCAGGTCAGCGCAGCGTATCTCTCTCACCTCTTCATGGAAACAAGAAAGATAAACTTCCCAGATCTCTCTGAGAATCACCTCTCTGTCACCATGGAAACCGTCCCACAGAGTTTATTGCTGCGTCTTTCTTTTCTTTAGACGTAGATGTCATTAATAGATGAACATTCTCTATCTGTTCTGGTTCTAGATGCTGCACAGACTCGTTAAGTAGAGCTTTGGTTCATAGAATGCACAGGTGGATTTTTTTTTTTATTTCTTTTATTAATAACTTTTAATAATCTTTCCAAGTTAAATATGGAAAACAGTTTCAATGTGTTTATAGCACAGAGATGGAAGGAAAAACTCTGCTCATCCTGCCTAGTGGGAGCATCTCTATACGCAGTCAGTGGGACATGGAGAGAAAATGATCACAGATTAAAGGAAAAGTCTGTTCAGCGAGGAATAATCAATCAATCATTATTTATACCTACACAACATTCGCTGTGATTTAATGAATTTAGCATTAATCAGTAAAAAATAAAAATAATTATTTTCCTCACAATCACTGAGTCTGGGAGCGGCCATTTTTGCCCAAATCTAGTAGCCCCTCCCTCCTGCCATCTTCCAGCAGTGACGTCACGGTGCGGTAAGCCTAGCGCCATTCTCCCCGCTTTCCAAGCTAAATCAATGGGAACTACTAGACACATCTGCAATCAACAACAATTATTGAAGATTTCCAGAGGACTTCACCATTGAAATTCACCAGAGCTATAGTGAAACTGACAATGCCCACGTGCATGGCAGCTGGATGCTGGAATACATCGGGTAAAAGTGGAAAAAAGAGTTATTCCACCTCTGAAGTCTGGTTTATGCTCAGAAACCAGGTTGTCTGTGTGCGTCCTTCTGCAGACACTCTGCTGCACCTCTCCCATATTGTAGGTGACTGCAGACAGGAGGCCTCTGATTAGTCAATTCTACATCCGCTTTACGCTATGAGTATTTCCTATTTGGTACCTAATGGCAGAAACTCTGGACACTATCACTGTGCAGGACGATAGTTTGTAGCTCTGTGCGACGGTCTGTTGGTTTGCACCTGAAGCCAAAACATGCGGCGCCACGGTCAGTCTTTGGGGAACACTCACGGGGGAACTGTGTGTCGTCCGGCGTTGGATGAGGGGTTGTAGACGGCGAACAAGCTCGTCAAACTGACACACGGACATCCACAGTCCTAGCTAGTTCCTGATTGTCCCTCTGACATTGTGGCGGGGAATAACAGTGCACAGACCATGCTTCAAAATTGACAAACACCAGATACAGCACTGGGACTTGATCAACAGCCGATACCGCACCGTGACGTCACTAACCAGTAGGTGGCAGTAGTGTTCTTTGACAAACATGGATGCCTCCAGTAAAGCACATTCACATGAAAATTACTCTGAATTAAAAACACTGATCATTTATTGAACAGGATGGAATCATTTCAGATTTAAAGAACTTTCAGAAGTTTGGATTCTGAATATGAGCGACTTTTCCTTTAACGAGTCGTACCAGCCGGTGTGTTCAGGCGTTAAAACGCTGTGGAGGAAGCTGACCTCATCCTGTGCTTTCAGGTGGACTTCGTCATCAGAGAGGCTACCAACATGGACAACCTGGCCCAGCTGTACGAGGGCTGGACGGCCTGGGTGTGAGCACCATGCTACTTCCTGTCTATGGTCCAGCCAAGGCTTGGAGATCCACCAGAGTCCTCAGGGACTGGGGAGTCGGAACAGCAGCACCGGGCCACCCGAGGGGGAGGAAAATGGGAGGCGGAGCCTTCGCCGCCCTCCTTTGCACCCGGGCATCCAAACCGGGGCAGCGGCCTCGCGGCATCGCTGCACCACATTCCCCTGCAACCACCGGCGTTCAGGCTAACGCAACGCTTAGTGAGCCTGCTGACCCCCCCGCCTTTCAGGGGCGAGGGCGGGCAAAACACCGCCGCCAGGGGGGAGGGGGTGAGGAGGGGAAAGGCCTCCTAACCCTCCTCTTGGAAACACCTTCCCTCCACCTGCAGAGCTCACTCTACCATGTTTCCCATAAACGCTTCCAGCGGAGGTTTCTCTGAGGGTGGGGGTGCAGCAGCAGGGGGGCACCTGACCGGGGTCAGCCTCACACGGACGGGGGCATCTCTTCTTTCTCTGCTCTTCTTCCTCAGAGACACGGGGCCCCTTAGGGGGCCTGTGGGGGTGGGGCCCTCCCCCCCACGGCTGAGGGGAGAACCACTAATCAAACTGTTGCGGGGCGGCGTGGCGCCCCGGGTCAGACGGAGTCCTTTTCTCCACTCAGCATCGTTTTGTGGATTAAACTCAAACATCTTTGGTGTCGACTGTTTGTTTTTTTTGGTGATCTGCTGATGGAAGCAGGTAGAGACTTCTTCTTCGTTGGTTATTTTCCTTCGGTCTGTGCTGCGCTCTCTAACTTCCTGTAGGAATCTACTTCCCTCTTTTTTGAATCTTTCCTGTTTTACCTTTTTATTCGGAAACATTTGGTTTGTGGTGACGGTGAAAAGTGTCTATTCTTAAACCTTTTATTGAATTCTGTTGAATGCCAAATAAACGTAGAAGTGAATTAAAAGGTGTTGGTCTCTGCTGGACGTCTGTCAGACCAAACTGCTTCATTAATTAATCTGCAGCCGAGGATTCACATCCAGGCAACCGACAGGAAATGAAGTCCCTGCTGATCCACAGCCGTAATCTTGTGTAAACTGTGGAGCTGCGACCAGCCGGACCCCTGAGGGTCGATGGAGGTTAATGATTACAGGAGCTGTGCTTATTTCTAGATCAGCCTGCAGATCCTCAGACAGACGGACGGACGGCGGCTCACAGGAACCATGTCTGCGCAGCGCGTCTGTGTCTCAGACTTTGAGGAGGAAGCCAGGCGGGTTCTTCCTAAAGCCGTGTACGACTACTACCGCTCAGGAGCCGACGGCCAGAGCACGCTGGCCGACAATGTGGCCGCCTTCAACAGGTAACTGCAGCTGGAGGGCAAAGGTGGAGCGAGACGCAGCGGCAGCCGCTCACCGTTAGATCTTTAACCCATTACAGCTGCGCCGATCTCAGGGAATCCTACGTTCTCAAAATGCTGGGAAATAAAAATGACCCAGCTGTCCGTCAGAATCCAGAGGAAACAGTTTTTTTTACTTTCTGGTCCGTTAACCAGAAAGACCAGAAGAACGGCGGCTCCAGTTGCCGGGTTTGATAAAGAACCAGGAAAGAAAAAATCACTAAATGAGAAATCGGTTTATTTCAATAATTAAATAAGAAAAACATCTTTATTGATCTCACATTTACCTCTGCATTTATCCCTTTATAGGGTACTTATATTTATAGTTTATAAACCTAAATAGAATTGCTAACTAAGTTAATTAACTTTCTAACTTTCTCTACTTTTTACATTTTCAAGTAGCTTTTTTCTTCCAGCTTTTTTCCCAGGTTAATTTCCAGCAGGTAATCTATCATTCACTGACTCATCTAATTGGTCAAATGTCAAAACCAGATGTAGAGCCATGTAGAAGCATAGTGAATGGATGGATATAGATCTTTTGCTTCTAGACCTTACTGAGGGACGGGGGGAGGACTCCATTTGTAAGGGGAACATAAGTGATTAAAATTGCTAACTTGCCCTATGAAGGCTTAACCCCGCCCCCTTGTGGTGGCTGTGGGAGTGGCTAATATTTCTGCTGGTTCTGGTTTGTTGCATAGAGGAGCTTCAGTGAACCAGAACATCCATGTGAAGGAACGGGGCGGGGGGGGGGGGCTTAGTGATGGCTCCGCCTCTTTAAATGCTTTAGTTCAGGAAATTCTGTTTCCACACAGATCCTCGTTTCAGTAAATCTTTATTTCCATAAAAGGAATTAAGCTTCAAGTTTGGAAACTTTTTCCACTTTAGTTCTGATTCATCACTGGTCCAAGATGGCTGAATCCAGCTCAATCTATTTCAATAGCTCCTATTCCCAACCTGTCTTCTGACACTACAGAACCAACCCAGTCTTTCCCGCTCATTGACTCTTCAGCAATCCCTCACACTAAGCATGCTTGTAGCGACAGTGGAGAGGAAAAACTCCCTTTGAACAGGAAGAAACCTCCAGCAGAACCCGGCTCAGTGTGAGCGGCCATCTGCTGAGGCCCACTGGGGTTCAAGGAGACAGAAGCAGACATAGAAAAAGAGAAACAGGACTACACTGGAAAACAGGCCTATTGTGGATTAATCCCAGTTTGTTTAGTTTCTTGTTCCTCTGGTTGTTGCTGTTTCTTCTAAGCATCTCTGAGTTCAGGCTGCAGGAGCCCAGTTTATAGCAGTTCTACCTCACAGCATAAGGTCCTCGGTTCAATTCCCAGCCTGGGGTCTGTTCTTATTCTTCTGATGCTTTCTCTCCTATTTCTTTGTTTTTTCATTCTGTACCTTCTGTTGTTCTGAAACCAGTCCGGTTTTTTCTGTTTTCACTAATTTACCTGTTAATCTTTGTCTCTTTCTCTGAACGGCAAATGTTTCAGATTTGGTCTCCATTTTGTTACATTGTGCTTTCCACCAGCTACTAATAATTTTACTAGGTGTCTATAAATGATAAACAAAGGTTCTTCAGTGTATCATTTCTGGATTTTATTCATTTTTCCAGTTTACTCACAAAAAGCAATAAGCTTAATATGGAAACAAGGAAAATTTTGATTTAACATTTGCAGCTTTTCTTGTTTTTTGGTGGAAGTTTATAAACAACAGATGGTGCACCGCAAAAATGATTTGTTAAAATAAGTGTATTTAACCTTAATTGGAGATGATCCACCAATGGAACGAACATTTTACCGTTCAAATAAAATGATCAGATATTATACACTTAAAATAAAAGACTGCATTTTTTTTTTCTTATTTTTAAGTTTATTTTATTCCATTGACAGTCTCTCACTTTCCTCGTGAATTGAAGAAAAGGTGAGGTATTTAGATGTAAATGTTTATCAGGGCGTGCATGCTGTGTGTTCAGGTGGCATCTGGTGCCGCGCGTGCTGAGGGACGTTTCCGTGGTGGACCTGTCCGTCTCTGTGCTCGGTCAGAGGCTCAGCATGCCGCTCTGCGTCGGATCCACCGCCATGCAGAGGATGGCTCATCCTGCAGGAGAGACCGCCACCGCTAGAGGTCAGCGCACTGACTCAGCCTGCTCCATGCAGTCAGGAGGGGGACAGACGGGTAAAATGGCCCTTGGGGGGGTTGACTCTCTGACCATTAACAATACAGGCAGAAGTATTTTTTCAGAAAATATTTGATAAATATATTTATTAGTAAAATAACTAAAAATATATATATATGCATTAGGTATATTTAATGTTTTCTTTAAATAAGGGGCCATTAGAACTCCCCCCACTCAACATAAAATGGTTTGACCAGGACAATGGCCAGCTGAGACTTTTAAAGTTAGTTTTGCTGCAAACTAAGAGTATCAGGTGTTCAGAGAAAAAAAAATAGGGGAAAAGGGGAGATGACACCAAAGGAGGATTTTATGATAAAATCTTATAAATGAACTGAGGATGAGTCGGGAACAGGTCCAGGAACGGAACAGCAGCAGAATGATGCCCAGGGAAGAACAAGCTGGGGAAGATTCTCAGTCATCCAGGTCATTCCAGAAAAGTTTAAAAACATCCACTCTAGTCTAGAACGAACTCTGCATCTAAAAAGCTTCACCCGCATTTTATCTCTTGTCTTCCCAGCATGCAAAGCAGTAGGGACGGGAATGATGCTGAGTTCCTGGGCCACCTCCAGCATAGAGGAAGTGATGTCAGCGATGACATCAGCACCAGGCAGCGGGGGGGTCCTGTGGATGCAGCTGTACATCTACAAGGACCGGGAGCTCACGCTGTCCTTGGTGCGCCGCGCCGAGGAGGCCGGATACAAGGCGGTCTTTGTTACCGTGGATACGCCCTACCTGGGGAAGAGGCTGGATGACGTGCGCAACCGTTTCAAAATGCCCCCACATTTAAGGTAGGAACCAAAACCTGGAGGCTGAGGAGGTTCTGCTGGGATCATCAGAACCAAGGTGTGACCCGGTTTTGTCTGTCTACTCCCAGGATGTCCAACTTCTCCTCTTCCTCCCTCTCCTTCTCTGAGGACGACTACGGTAACGACAGCGGCTTGGCGGTTTATGTGGCTAACGCAATAGAGCCGGCGCTCAGCTGGGATGACATCACCTGGCTGAAGAAGCACACGCGCCTCCCTGTGATCGTTAAAGGCATTCTGAACGGTACCAGCACCATTAGCCTAGAGCAGCGTTTAAACCCTGGTCCTGAAGGCACCCTGCTCTGCATGTTCTGGAGGTTTCTGAGCTTCAGCAAACCTGATCCAGATGATTGCAGTTCAGCAAAGCCTGATAATCTATCAACTGATAACAGGTGTGTGAAAGCTGGGAAACATCTAGAACATGCAGGGCAGTGAGCCTGGAAAATCGCCCTGAAAATCACGCAGTGTACGGCGGGTTTAAGAGGAGCAGATTTGAACCAGTCTGAGAAATCATGGAGGAACGGCTCAGTCAGAGATTTTAAAGGTAGATTTTAAAGGTAGATTTTGAGGTAGATTTTAAAGGTAAACAATTGGCCAGAAAAATGATAAAGCTTCCCTGAGAAGTCAGACGTTTGCTTTTCCACCAAATGATTTAACCTCAAAATCCCGTTTTAAAGCGTTTACATCTAATAACTCAGAACGCATGAAAATTCCAGCAGTAAAATGTTTACCAATTTAGATGTTAGACATCGCTGGAAAGATTAGATTCTCCACAATCAACCAAGTTAATTTTATGGACACAGCGAGCAGCAAAGCACATTTATAGCAGCATGTCCAAGCAAGCAGGGATTTATTACTGCTGATTTCAGAAATCAGAGAATAAAAAAAAAGCTATTGTTTGAACTGATATGGCTTAGGTGTTTTACTCACCCAATATTCATGTATATCAGAAACTAGAAGCTGTTAGCTTTCAAATGACGTATCATGAATGTAATTTGGGCTTCCAGTTCACCAATCATTTTCTGTTCCATTTGGATTTACAGAATAGGCGAATTTCGCTGCAATGAGGTGGATATTAAGAGGTTAAAAAATAAAACCATGGTTCCTCATCTTTAGTCCCCGGCATTCAGAGTCCAGCTCTGCCGTGATTGGTTCCTGCTTCTGTCAGTCAGACCTCAGCTCCTCCCTGCAGAGATTCAATGAATCCCAGCAGCCCAACCCAGAGCATAACGGAGCCACCTCCATGTTTCTGCTTTTCTTTATAAGCACTCTGGTTATACAAGGACCAGAACTAAAAAAAATGTGTGGGGATCCAGTCCTGGTCCAATGTTCCTGGTGGTTCTGGAAAAAAAACGATAAAGTAGGATACATTGAAATGGGTGAAGAAACCTGGGAGCTAATGTTCCCTGCTAAGGATAGCTGACTTATGCTACGTTCACACTGCAGGCCTTGATGCTCAATTCAAATTTTTTTGCAAAATCCAATTTTTTTGCGTTGCTGTTCATATTTCCAAATATATGCGGCTTGTATGTGATCTCCTGTGGGAACTGCAGTCATACAACGCAAGTGTCCCGCATGTGCAGTAGAGGATGCAATGACATCACTGGCCAGCGTGCTCTACGTTTACGGAAGTAAACATGGATGGTAGTGCCGGCGCGCATCTAGTGGTCTTTTCCAACCATAAAAACTCAATCTTTTCAGTATGGTTAAACATAAATACTGCTCTCCGCATCATCATCCGCCATGGTTGTTGTTTTTCTTGCCTCTTCTGCGTAGCAGGACGCAGAAGAGTGACCTATGTCTGGTATTAATGACGTTCAGGTCGGATGAATCCGAACTGGCCGTTCAGACACGGGTCCCATTTGAAAAGATCAGAATCATATCAGATTCAGGACCACAGAGCCAAGTGGCCTGGGTCGCATTGGAACAAATAGTATCTGTTTTGTTCAGACTGCCATGAAAAGATCAGATCCAGGTCGCATATGAAAAAGAAATCGGATTTGGGTCACTTTAGGCTGCAGTGTGAACGTAGCCCTAGTTCCCATTTTTTTTTAGTCTAATATAAGTTTCTCACATAACAGAAGTTTTCTTGGTAGAGCTTCTGCATGTCCCTTAGATTAATGCCAAAGACGGTTTGTATAAAGAAAATAAACCTTTTTAACAAAGTTTAGATGAAGGAAAAGGACCGAATCCATTTTGGAGCAAAGCTGTAGAGAAAATGTGGAAAAGGTGAAATCCTTTCCAGACCTACGGCACGCTGCTGCCATCTTGAGAAAATGAAGCTTCACTGGTTTCACTGCTTGTTAAAGGTTAACATCTCCTGGAACCACTGGAGTGGTCCTGGTCTGCATAATGGGAACCAGTAACTGACCATGAGCTGTCTGCAGGTCAGGACGCCGTCCAGGCGGTGAACTATGGGGTCAGCGGCATCCTGGTGTCCAACCACGGAGCTCGGCAGCTGGATGGTGTTCCTGCTACGGTCAGTGGGACTTTGGTTGCTTCCAAACGGTTCGTCTGCATCACTGAGGTTTGAAAGAGCACAGAACCAGAAAACTGGACCCAGAACCAGTCGACAACGGGGGGCCGCGACCCCTGGGCCGTGACCCCCGGACCAGTGGAGGGGGCGTTCCTGCTGCTCCATAACCTGAGTCTACTTTGCCTCTAAAGTGGAATATTTCCTTCATCTGCTTTATTGGTCCAGATCCTCCATCTGGGGTCAAAGTTCATTAAGGCGTCCAGCGATTAAAACTTTTGCTGGTTTCTCAGATTCAGATCCAGGGAGATGCTGACGCCTCTCTGTCTGCAGCTGGACGTGTTGGAGGAGGTGGTGATGGCCGTGGGGGGGCGCTGCGACGTCTACATGGACGGAGGAGTGAGGAGGGGGACGGACGTCCTCAAGGCGTTGGCTCTGGGAGCTAAGGCCGTCTTCATCGGCCGCCCCGTGCTGTGGGGGCTGGCCTGCCAGGTAACCCCCCCCCCAGGGACGGTTGTACTTGGATCAGAACCTGCAGATGGATCCTAATGACTTCCTGTCCTCCTCCAGGGAGAGGACGGCGTCATCGAGCTGCTGGAGCTTCTGAAGGAGGAGCTCCGCCTGGCGCTGGCTCTATCAGGTAACGCGTGGTGAGCGAGGTTCTGATGGTCCAAACTGGACCAAACATCCTTCCTCTGGACGGACGCCATGTTGGAGGTCTGCTTCACCTCAGCTCCTCATACCGACGCCTTGTTGAAGTTTCCACATCTGTAACTTTAGATCGTCTGATCTCACAGTATCAGAGACATTCAGGCAGCGATGTGCAACTTTTAGCCACCAGGGGGAGCTACACCTGTAACCTTCAGGGCTAGCTCCCCCTGAAGGCCACCAGCAGCACTGCAGCATCTCTAAATCATTGGTGGTTCTAGTTTACTGCAGCAGGAAGCCACGCCCACATGGAGGCGGCCGACCGCTGCTCTGGTCACGCCCGTCATATACCTCAGTGTTTGTGGCGTCTTTGAATACAGCGCTAACGTTGGCTGACCCCCTGTGTGCAGGTTGTCGGTCTGTCGCCGAGGTGAGCCGGTCCCTGGTGAGGAGAGCGGACTGCACCTCACGGATGTGAGGAGGCCTCAGCAGGACTCCCGATGACATCACCAGTTTGGGGCGTAACGAGGCGTCGATGACACGATTAACGATGCTAAACTAAAACATTCATCATTTGATCTGATAATTAAGAGAAACTGTTTTTGATTGAAATAAAATGATCCAATCATGTTTGTTTTGGCTTTTTTTGGGAATTAATTTCAGTAACTGATACAGTGTCGAGCATTTTAGGTGGCAGGTTGGAAAAAGGACGCGTGATGGAGATGCAGACAGCGTCACATGATGACGATCAAATCTACTGATATAAACAAACCTGAAAAACTATGAACTAGATCAAGTTTTTTTTACTTTGTTTTTTAATTTTTTTGAAAAAAAAACAATTGAACAAATAAACCTGATATAAGCGAATGTAGATGTGAGTTATCAGCTGCAGGGAACAGATTATGCTGTAACTGATAGAAGTCTTTAAAGGAAAAGTCGCTCATATTCAGAATCCAAACGTCTGAAAGTTCTTTAAATGTGAAATGATTCCATCCTGTTCAATAAATGATCAGTGTTTTTAATTCAGAGTAATTTTCATGTGAATGTGCTTTACTGGAGGCATCCATGTTTGTCAAAGAACACTACTGCCACCTACTGGTTAGTGACATTGTCACGGTGCGGTATCGGCTGTTGATCAAGTCCCAGTGCTGTATCTGGTGTTTGTCACAACGCGCTATTATCCAAGTCATCTTGAAAACATTCTTCTTCCAAATGTGGGCTACATATTACGGGTTTTTTCTCTGGCCAGAAGTTCGATGGCAAATCCTCCCTCTTCAAGTTGGCGATCCAACGACCAACCCGTCCGTGGAGGATCAGGAATCAGAAAGGTGGAATAACTCTTTTTTTTCCCTTTTACCCGATGTATTCCAGCATCCAGCTGCCATGCACGTGGGCATTGTCAGTTTCACTATAGCTCTGGTGAATTTCAATGGTGAAGTCCTCTGGAAATCTTCAATAATTGTTGTTGATTGCAGATGTGTCTAGTAGTTCCCATTGATTTAGCTTGGAAAGCGGGGAGAATGGCACTAGACTTACCGCACCGTGACGTCACTGCTGGAAGATGGCAGGAGGGAGGGGCTACTAGATTTGGGCTAAAATGGCCGCTCCCAGACTTAATTTTTTTTACTGATTAACTCTAAATTCATTAAATCACTGTGAATGTATCAGTTTTAGGTATAAATAATGATCCATTGATTCCTGCTGATCGGACTTTTCCTGGAGACGCAGTTTGTTACCTGGATGGTTAGTTGGCCCGTCACCAGGGCAACGCTCTATGGAGGCGGAGCTACACGCCTCATGGAGCAAAACTGCAAAAATGTAAATCTTTGAAAGGCTTTTAAATTCATAAATAGTATTTTTGGTTAAAAACTTAAAAGAAAAATATTTCATGAGGGGAAAATGCAGAAGCTCTATCGCCCCCTAGTGTCTGTGTTCCTCCCTGCTGCCAGCAGTCACATGGATCAGAGCGATGATTGAAACTGTTTCTGGAACAAACATTTATTTTCTCTTTGGGATTATAAAGTATTTTTTTATTTATTCCTCCTGAGCCACAAACGTTAAAACGTTTTTATTCCAGAAGATTAGATTTTATTCTGATCCAAATGATCAACGGACCAGAACCACCGGAGGAACCGAGTTTGATTCTCCACAGCATCAGTCCTGCTGCGGTTCTGTAGCTCCAGAGGGACGGCGCTGCTGCAGCGCCATGAGGCGGACATGTTTTATGGTCCATCTGCGGCCCACCTCCGTCCAGCAGAACCAACGTTCTCCAAATAAAACCAGTTTGCTCCGTCCGAAGGATTAAAACCTGTGGGCGATGGGGGGAGAACCCACGCCGCTGGGGCTGCAGATGTTGGAGTCGAAGGAGCTGGGCGTCATTCCCAGCATGGCATCGCCGTGCGGCGTCTCCCCACTCAGAAAGTCGTCTTCATCGTCCTTCAGGCCCTGAAACGGAAGCGAGGAGCCGGAGATCAGAGATTATGTCAGGGAGCAGAGAGAACCGGAGGAACCGTGGAGAACAGGAAGGTCTCCTCTCTCACCTGCTGGGCCGTTCTGGCTGGAAGCAGACTGGTTTCTGCTACTTCATCCCAGACCTGATAGAGCGGCTCAATCAGCTGACCCGACCTGCAACACACCAGAACCACAGGAACTGAAGGAGGCGGATCTATGAAGGACCTGTGAACCGGGGGGGGGGGGGGCTGGTACCGTCTGAGCAGGTAGGGGTCGAAGGGGAAGAAGCTGTCCAGAGGGTTGGTGATGGCGGTGACCCCGTCTCCTCCTGCAGAGCTGCGGACCACCGGCAGAACCTGCCTGTTGTTCCGCTCGATGATGGTGTAGCAGAAAACCACCTGGTACTTCCTGGAGCACAACCACAGCGTTACCGTTAGCAACGGGGGGGTCACCTGGTCGTCTCCGTGGAGGGTTGGCCTAGTGCAGGGGGGGCGGGGCCGCATGTGGCTCTTAAGGACCCTCTACTGTGAATCTTAGTAGCGGCTATAAATTATACAAAAGCGGAGGTCTTCAACAGGGGTCAGCGACCCCTAGAGGGTCCACAGGGGTACTGCATGGGGGACGCAAAAGTTTTGGTTGATTAGACTTTTTTTTATATTCCTCCTGCATTTTTTTCCACTAATTGAAATGTCTTTAAATCCACATTAACATGAATCCAGCAGACTGTAGTAAACAGATAAATGGAGGCAGAAGATGTCTTTCAGTCATCAATGCTCACATTCAGGGACACAGAGGAGCTCTTTCAAGCTGGACACCGTTTCATTCACAACACCTGTCCCATCAACCAGGAATCAGAAATACTTTAATAATCCCAGGGAGGGATTACTTTGTGGATTTAAAGACATTTCAATTAGTTGGAAAAATAGCAGGGGGGGGGGGGACTAATCAACCAAACCTTTCCCCATGCAGTACCTCTGTGGACCCCTAGAGGTTGCTGACCCCCAATCTACAGAAAAAAAAATTTTATTTATATGAATTGTTTTATGTTTTTCCTTATTTTAAAAGAATCAAAATAAGTTTTTGGTTATTTAAAATGGCAACAGATTACTTTAGGCAGATGTTTAATAAAAATATATATTTTTAAATTTGTTAAAAAGTAATGTAATATTTTGCGGCTCCAAAGGAGTTTCATTATCTGGACTCTGGGCTTAATGGCTCTTTGATATGAACGGTAGCAGACCTCTGGCTCAGTGGTTAGAGCGGTAAACTTCTGCTCTGAGAAGCTACCTGCTTCGATCCCCACAGCCTCTGGGTCCCTGAGCAAGACCCTAACCCTGAAATCCCACATCCACCGTCTCCAGACTGCCTGCTCAAAGCAAAGCCTTCAGCCTCTGCTGTTCCTCCCATCCTGCTCAGCTCAGACTTCCTCAGAGCTCCAGGAGAGCAGCACCATTATTATTATTAAACTCATATGAGCAAAACATGCAGAAATGAACGATTAAATTTAATATGACGCTCTAAAAAACCTCCATCAGCATCCTGCAGATGTTCAGTTTCTGCCCAAACATTTTATTTTTGTAGATTTTTTTAACAGGGAAAACCAGGATAATTTTAAACCGTTTTTTAATGTTTGTTCTCTGCTTCCAAACTCAGCGTCTCTTCATCCTTTCCTCAACTAAAAAGGTTCTTTTAAATAAATTGTATTAAACTTTTAAACCTCTCTGTATAAAATAAATAATTTGATGGAGATGAGAAATCTGCTTCCTTGTCTGTTGAACCAATAGTTTTTTATCCAATCTTTTAAATAAACAGTCTTCGTTTTTTTATTATTATATAAGAATTATTCTCTAATTTGTAGTTATAACCGACCTGGTGTTACTATATATTAATTAGACGAACCGGATCTTCTCGCCGTTCTTTTTCCTGTTTGGTGCGATTGGAATAGCGGATCTAGCGGAGCAGAAATAGCTCGGCTCCGTGTTTTGGCGGTGAAGGTCGGAGAAGCGGTAAGCGGAGGAGTAACGGCGGACGTGGAACAGCTCTCACTGATTAACATGAGAGACTGCATGACGCAGGTGAGCGGGCTGCTGACGGAGGAGGCGGAGTCTCTGATGCGGATCGATAAAGGCATTTAGATTTTGTAGAAACCGTTGGTACCTGGTGACGGCGGCGAACATGCTGGTGACAGAGGGCAGGCAGACTTTGAGCGGGTTCAGCTGCGACATGACGACCCGCTCCAGGTTCAGACTCTGCAGATACTCCAGACCTGAGGCAAACACAGAGACTCTGATCAGGTCCGGGTCCTGGTCCTGGTTCTGACCCGCTTCTTGCTGCATGCCGCCTACCTTTCTTCATGTTGCCCTCCAGCATGGCTCTGTGTCTGAAGACCAGCGTGTAGAACGCGGCCTGGCAGGCGGCGTAGAACGGCCCGTGGAGGCTGATGTCACAGACCACCTGCCTGCCGCTGCTGTCCTGCCCGTCGATGTAGGCGTGGATCCAGGTGAGCAGCAGGTCTAGACAGGCCCTGACCGTCCTAAAAGACAGCAGGTTTAGACCCAGCTCAGACCCCCACCCAGAACCAGGCGATGGACTCACAGCACGGGGACAAACTTGGCCCGGGCCAGGAAGCTGCCCAGGTATCCGGCTGCAGCCTGGCGCAGGACGGCGGGCTGAGCTGGGTTCTGCAGGATCTTCCACAGGTGGTCCAGGAAAGCCTCGGCCAGCGCCTGGAACCAGAACAAAATACACCCTGAGGCCTGGTTCTGGTTACCGGCTGTGGTTCTGTCCCAGTTACCCACCAGTTTGAAGCTGCAGAGGTAGAACATGGAGTACTGGACGTGACTGGAGGCGTGGGTGGGCAGCACCAGCTTATCAAACACGCTCAGCAGATCTCGGTACAGATCTTTGGTCCGATCCGCGTGAAACGAACCTGCAAAACAGCAGAGTTCTGAGGCCCCGCCCACTCCACTGAGGGTTCTGATTGGGCCCAGATCCGTCAACCCGCCGCTAACGGCTCCTTCTGGTTACCGTCAACATGGCAGACGTCTCGGATGTAGGCCAGGAGCACCACCATCAGGCTGTCCAGCCTCTCCGCCACCGGATGGGCCATGGCGCCGCCGCCGGGCCGCGGATCCAAAGACATGTCCTCATCCTGGCGGAAACAAACGAACCGTTAAACC